GAATTCACTTTTAAGGTGTGTTGAGAACGTTTTAAATATGTTTTTTTAAATGTGTGTGGTGATGGAAATGACAGTGGTGGAAATGACATTTCTACAGTTTATTGTGAAAAAATTAAAAATAGCTTCACTGATTAGCTTTGGATTGATACTGGCCTTTCATGTATACAAAACACTCTTATTTACCTTAATTCTGTTTGGTTCATAAAATCATCTTTGAAGGTACAACATGTTTGGAAATGACGTAGAATAAATGTATTTACTTATCAAGCAATATTTATCTGGATTTTTCTTCAAATGTTGTTGATTAAAATTTAAATTCCCTCCATCTTAAACAAGTTCAAAGATGGCACTGTTCATTTTCATAGAAACCACCTCAATAATCTTTCACACAAACTTCTTAAAGCAACATTACAGTGCTGTGGTGGAAAGACACTGATACTGGGCGACAGCTATATTTCAAGAGTTCCCACTTATATGCTTGGCATTTATAGCAGGTTTGGCATGCTGTCCCGGGAGAGAACCCTGAGCTCGGAGATATATGAGCCCAGGGCTCCCGCCCGGTCTAGAAGCATATCAGGAGATCCAAGATCAGGTAGGTCTCGATCGCTCCCCCTTTAAAAGGGGAGAAAAAGGAGGAGATGGGGTGGAAGGAGGCATTCTTCCAAAACGAAGATAGAGCAATAAGGAGAAAGTGATCCTTTTATATTAAGCTAGGATCATTCTGATTGGATTATTACTGATTACGGATGAGTGGCCAGCGGTGCACAATCATATCACTTGCTCCTCTCGAAATTAGTTTATGAAACTTCACTTTGTATAAAAAAGAATATTGATAATAGTCTCACATTAATAATTATAAAATATTTAGATTATTTCACTAGTGCTTCATTAAGATACATTAATAGATACCAGATAAATAATATTTTAAAATGTTATTTTCATTGTTGAAGTTTAAAGCTCTGAATGTGCGACAAGGTGAAAACAGTGATTTTGACACCTAAAAGGAGGTTGAATAATATGAAAAAATTTAATAGAAAGCTAGTAAATTTTTGAAAGTAGGTTTTATTATTAGTTTGACAAACAAAGAGAAACTTGAATGAAATGATATATATTTTTGGATATATGATCAAAGGACATAAAAGTGCCCGTAGTTGAAGAATTACCCATAAATACAATCTTTGGTTTATTGAGTGCATTCATTATTATTAGTTTTTAGTTTTGAAATATTGGGTCCAACTAATGGCTAATGGAACTAGTTTTTAGTGTAATTCTGTAACTAACACATTTAAATCATGCACAAATGATATTAAAATCACAAATCCGCTACGCTTCCTCTCAGTAATATAGTTCATTAAGCTCGAGTATATCGTTTTTATGGCTGGCAAATACAAGTTGTTTTAAATAACTGATGTGTGTATGAACTGATTATATGTACTCATCCCAGTACTGTGATGTTAAACTGATTCATAAATATAAATCTCTATAATTAGTTTAGTGTTAAATGTCTCGGACTAACTTACCTGCAAGCTTCAAGCAAAGGAACGGAGGGAGGAAACAGCTCAGACAGAGTGGTGTAACAGGGAATAGCCACTGCATTGTAAAACCCCACCTGAGAACATGGGGAAAAACAGGACTATAGTATAACTAAACGTCCATTTAACATTTACTCTACAACAAAACATAAAAGCTATCCTAATGATGGATTTACAACTAAACATAACAGTTAAAGGTGCAGTAGGTGATCTGCCAAAATGTTAATCGGTTAATATGTTAGCTCTGGACGGCAGGGGAGGGACTGTGTTTTAAAGCCACGCATCCAGAATTCGTGAACGCGCGCACCGCGACATGACAGCAGACAACCCACTAGTTCAAGTCATAGTGCTTGGCCAGCGGCGTGCAGGAATTTCACTTATTACTAAGCCACACGTACATGCTATTTCATAGCGAATATCGTAGCGGTAAACAATATAGGTAGCACGTCACAGGATGTCATTGCTCAGAAATAACCCAATGTGAATATAAAAGCAACTTCTGCTCAGTAAAGCAGGCTAGGTGGAATGGTGCTGCTTACTGATGTTTTGTTGTTAAACTAAATAAAAATCGACATTATCGATGCTGTAAAAGGTCCCTTATGAAACTGAAAATAGTCACTTCAGTCTATCACTGGGAGATTTCAGAGGCTGAACAACACATCTGTGCACATAACCCATTCATAACACAACACACTCTACATCAGCTCTGCGTGAAGCTAAAATAGTTTTACAACAGAACATTATCTGTCTAACAGAAATACTTCAGCCATGGTGTTGTGCAAAAGTAACTCCGATACTGATTCAGAAGTTTAAAAAGTTTTAATTCAGCATTTGATTTTGCCACGACTGTGACGACTGTGACTAATGGCGGATATGTGTGAACAGAGATGCACAAAAGCCCAATCTGCATTTGTTGACAGACAGTTTGAGCTACTTATCGGAACTATGGGAGATGTCGGCCCTACAATATTTAATTGGATGAACATTTTTTAGTTTTATGCCTTAACCAGAATATTAATATACATATAAATACATTTAGATCATTTACTTTGATCATTACTATTGGACTGTGAAGAGACTTTCAACCAGCACAATAACAAATGTTTCTTAAGACAATCACCTACTGCACCTTTAAATAGGATGTCTTTTTGGTGGGTGAACTATCCCTTTACCATTAGTGAATTGAAAAATAGCTGTTCATTGTTAGTTCCTCTTAACTCAAAGTGCATTAACTAGCACAAATTTGAATGGTAATATTGCATTATTAAATGTTAAACTATTAATAAATGATGTACATGATACAACATAGACTAAACCTCATGAACTAATTAAACCTCATTGTAGAATGTGACCGTTATTGTAACATTTATAGTTACGGTCCTTAGTGTGAACGGCCCTTTAAGCTATTCTAAAGCATGCAATAAGAAACATTTTACTAGGCAGCCTGTTAAGGAGATTGATAATGACAGAAAGTTCTCATTTACCTGGCCCTGGGGTACCTCATCCTTTTTATCCCTGTCCATCATGGAGATAGGCTGCATTCCAATCTTCTTCATTTCATCTCCCTTCCATTACACACCAGATGAACAATTTCACTGACTGTCCTTCATTTTCACAAAGTGCACAAAACAATACTTTATTCAAAAGATTCATTGCTTGGTTAGCAATGACAAAAGTTTACCTCAGCCCAGAACTCGGCGTAGATGTCATTGGCTGTGAGTCTTGTGACGGGCCATAATTTGGTAACAGAGCAGAGATCACAGGCGGTCATCATCAGACCAATCACACGGTCCCTGTGGCGACACAATAAACACTCAGCAATTCAACTTTTTTACTGATGAAATGAGGAAGGGAATCAGTCAATAAAGTCAGTTATATACATTGCAAAAAAAAATAAATCTTTTTTTTATTATTATTTTTCTTATGTCAAAATATTTACAACCACAAATCAGAAAAAGTTGGCACAATATGGAAAACACAAATAAAGTAGTGTAGGTAGGTAGTGTTGTCGCCTCACGGCAAGAAGGTTGCTGGTTCGAGCCTCAGCTGGGTCAGTTGGCTATTCTGTGTGAAGTTTGCATGTTCTCCCTACGTTCGTGTGGGTTCCCTCCGGGTGCTTCGGTTTTCCCCACAGTCCAAAGACATGCGGTACAGGTGAATTGTGTAGGCTATCTATTACTAATTTATTAGGTGTAGTGGTAACACTTTAAGATTTTAAGGTTCATTAGTTAATGCATTTACTAACATGAACTAATCATGAACAACACATGTACAGCATTTATTAATCATAATTGAACATTTACTAATGCATTATTTACATCCAAGTACATGGTTGTTAACATAAGTTAATGCACCATCAGTTAACATGAACTAACAATGAACTACTGTATTTTCATTAACTAATGTTAACTAACATGAACAAATACTGTAGTAAATGTATTGTTCATTGTTTGTTCATGTTAGTAAATGCATTAATTAACATTAACTAATGAACCTTATTGTAAAGTGTGACCGGTATAGTTATAAATCATTAAAATACAGTTAACAAGTCATTTATAACTTGTTAACTAACAGCTTTTAAATTATCTATTGGTAATCTATGAGGCATGGTTATAAATAATTATCAAACTGGTAACACTTTATAATAATTACACACTATAAATAATTTATTAAGCATTAGCAAATAGTGAACTCATTATCTGTTAAGCATCTACATTAATATGTGTTATTAAGCAGTTTATAACTGCAGCTACAAATGATCTATTCTTGACTTATAAGCACCTATATAATGTGTTTAATGATTGTATTTTCATACTTAGTTAATGATTTATTTTTCCTTACTAAATTAAGTATCAAATTATTTACAAACTGTTTGTATTTAAGAGTAGTTGAGGGTTTTCAGGACCATTCAGAATGAGTTAGTAAATGATTAATAAACTATTGAAATCAACATTTATATGTCTTATTATTCAGGCATATATTAATCGTTACTATATATATTAATAAATGCTTTATTAACTCAACTCCATGCAGTTTTGTGACCTAATCTAAAGTGAGGACTATTCATGCTTTATAAATCACTAATAAATGACAAATAAAGGCTCAGTTAAATTCTAAACAGGAAGAATGACATTATTCATTTCTCTTCATTTAAAGATACACAAATGAAAGTGCACTTAAAATGAAAAATAAATCTTTGCAACCTGATCTAAAATAGAATCACTGTAGAGTTTAAACATTAAATCTTATTATAACGTTAAATTATTATATTGTTGTTGTTTTATCCAGTTGGATGTCATATTTTGACACTCCTGTTATTTTGCAATGTTTAAACTTAACAGTAGCTTTACTTTTTAGAAAGATTGCACAGATTATCGTTCATTTGATACCGAGCCTTTAATAGTCATTTATAAGGCATTTATAAAGCATGAATAGTCCTCACTCTAGATTAGGTCACAAAACTGCATGAAGTTGAGTTAATAAAGCATTTACTGACATATTAGTTAACTATTACTATATGCCTGAATAATAAGACACAAAAATGTTGATTTCAATAGTTTATTAATCATTTACTAACTCATTCTGAATGGTCCTGAAAACCCTCAACTACTCTTAAATACAAACGGTTTGTAAATAATTCGATACTTAATTTAGTAATGAAAAATAAATTATTAACTAAGTATAAAAATACAATTATTAACCACATTATATAGGTGCTTATAAGTCAAGAATAAAGCATTTGTAGCTGCAGTTAGAAATTGCTTATTAACGTTTATTAATGTAGAGTTATTGCTGAACAGATAATAAATTCACTATTTGCTAATGCTTAATTAATGATTTATAGTGTGTAGTTATTATAAAGTGTTACCTAAACGATTAACTTATTTACACAATCATTTATAACTCATTCACTTAAAGTTTATTAATAGACTATTACTTAGTTATAACGGATAGTTATTCTAAAGTGTTATCAGTTTTTTTTTTATTGTTTTATGTTCAGTCCACTTAACTTAATTCCTTCATACTGTCCTAACACAAATGGATTGTGTGGAAGCCAGCATTTTTTACAGTGCTGAATGTGCCTCTGATGTTGAGGTAAGATTTAGTAGTGACCTCTGACCTGTGAGCGCGGTTGTTCAGGTCGAGCGCCCCTGTAGACAGCAGTTCAGCCAGCTGCTTGCGGTTGCCGAAGTACAGAGCGAGGTCTGTGGCAATGATGGCCTTCCTGATGATCTCCAGCACCTGTTCATACTCACCGGAAGTCAGGTTGGAGAAAATATTGTGCCCTTCCAGCTATGGGAAAAAAAGAGATCAATAAAAAAGCAAAAGCTCCACTAATGGGGCGTCAGGCTTTGCTGGAGAGTTGCAGCGAAAAAGGCGTTGAGGAGAACAGTTGACAACAGACTGACATAAAATGGCAATGTTCAACTACAGCTTTATTTTTACATTGGTTTGGTACTACTTTCATAAGTAAGGAGTACATTTACAAAAACTCTTTAGTACAAAACTTTAAACTGATTGCACTTGTAAAACCACTTGTCAATCTTTCCAAACCTGATGTCATGATTTCATCCCGTTTTCAGTCCACATAATCCTCATTTCAGAAGACAAGATCACTGAGATGTGTATTGAGAACGTCAACTTCAAAATATCATCCTCGTACTTTCAACAACCAGTCGATTCAGTAACAAACAACACAAGGTACAGGTTTCAAATCGCCTTTGGTGTTGAATGAATATTAATGTAGTGTAAACTAGCTTCATAGCAAATGTTAAACTTACTGTATGTTCAGACAAATTGACAAAAGCTCTATGTATATACACACCGTGTCTCAAAAAAATCCAAGCAAAATTCACTCTGTCAGAATTTCATCAAAATACCTCCTACTTTAATTATATTTTGTAATTAGATGGCAAATAGATTAAATTATATATACTTATATATAATTCATGTTTATATTATAAGTATAATTATGTATATGTTTTCCACCTCACCTGATTTATATCACCCCATTACCTTGATAAACAATGATAACCCAAAGTTTGACCGAATGTTTCAATTTTATTAGTTGCAAACTAAATTAGAAATAAGAGAAGAAGAAGCACTGTAGCGTTTCAGTTCTCGTAAACCTTTCATTCATTTTCCTTCAACTTAGTCCCTTTTTTAATGAACCGCCAACTTATTCAGCAAGTTTTTTATGCAGTGTATGCCCTTCCAGCCAATTTAGTTGATTCAATTCAACTATAGTGCATGTCTTTGGACTGTGAAACCAGAGCACCTGAAGGAAACATATGCCAATATGAGAACATGCAAATTACACACAGAAATGCCTACTGGCCACACACACACAAACACAAACACAAACACACACACACACACACACACGCACACACACACACACACACACACACGCACACACACACACACACACACACACACACACACACACACACACACACACACACACACACATATATATATATATATATATATTATAGGTGGGCATAGATACATTTTTTAATCTAGATTAATCTAGATTGAAATGGCTCATGTGAACTCTGCCGAGGGCTTTCAGATAAGGTGTGCTACCCAAATAATAAGTCTTTGAAATTGGGTTTCTCAAGCCAGGGGGCGCATTAGACCAGGGGCTCATCCGCGATCAGTAAACACCGTCATGTAGGACTTTATGCCACATTTTCCGACAAGATCCACACATGCGGCTGTCAGTAAAGGACCACACACACACACACACACACACACACACACACACACACACACACACACACAAACAAACACACAAACAAACAAACAGACAAACACACACACACACATCACGAAGCGCGGTAGTTTTTTTCTTTTCATTGGGTGTGTGTTATTACATTCCATAACACTCTCACTAGTCCTTACTCCTTATTTGAGTCTAATACTCCAGTTTGTCACGGGGGCATGAATGAAATATTCCTGAGTTAAAGTGAAACTGCTGAACTGCAGTTAAAGTCAGGCATCCTGCTGATTTGATTCAGAAGGGCACATTTTGTCAGATGGCTCACTGGTCAGGTATACATCCGCGCTAAAATATCAAGGTGAAAGTCATCATGGCTTGCGTAGAATAGACCCAGCTCCCAACCCAACTTTGAGAATAAATTAGCGGTGATATTTTTTTTTATCGCGCGATAAGAGTCTCATGTTAACACAACATGTTATATACACACATATAGATACACACACACACACACACACACACACAAATATATATATATATTATAATATTTTTAAATATTTATATTTATAGATATTTTTTTTCGATTAATTTTGTGGCTAAAAGGTATCGGTTCAGGCACTGTTTTGGCACCAGTACCGTTTTAAAAGTACCGGTATCGAAAAAAGCCAAACGATACTCAACCCTAGTCGTAACACACTTGAAAGTATGCTGACATGTTTGAGCATCGACTAACAGTTTTGAAAATGTACCAATAGCTTGTGAAAGTTGCACCAAACCAATTTAAAAAAAGTACTGTAATAAGTCATGTACTGCAATACATAAAAAAGCCATCATTAGTCACATACAGTATTTTGAGAATTCTCTTAATGATTCAATCGAGTATGAGGTTTACCTGCAGGATGGACACGGTCTGTGAAAAATGATGCTGTTCCATGGTGGATGTGGAATACAGGGCTGCCAGCGGATGGTCAAACTTCTGCAGGTAACTGTTACTGTAGCCGCGGTGGTCCAGGTCATGACATAAACAGGCAATCAGCAACCCTTTCCTCTGTGTGTGCAGATACATGCAAGGGAATAAGTGTTAAAAGCCACCAATGCTAAATATCACTACATCAACACACAAACAAAAACATTGCTTATTATGAATGTGCCCTGTAGTTAAAGAAACAGTCCAATTTTGATACCACAACAGCTATAAAACTACCACAACAGATTAATTTAAGCACTGTTCTATAGCATGGTTCAAAAACACTGCAGTATTTACTATAAATTACTACATTTTCACATGAATTTTCAGTTTAATGAGACTGATACTTACCTCAAGCTCAGTAAAAATCCCAGTGGTCTTTTGCAAAATGGCGTACATGCAGTGTGCCACCGTCACAGCATGTTTCCAGTTGTGGTATGGAACTCTTCTGTAATTTTTCCGCACTGACATAGTGAAGCGGCACAGTTTCTCCAACTCAAAGCTTTAATTACACACACACACGCACACACACGCACACACACACACACACACACACACACACACACACACACACACACACACACACACACACACACACACACACACACACACACACACACACACACACGCACACACACGCACACACACACACACACACACACACACACACACACACGCACACACACACGCACAATAAAAAATGACTTTACACCTTTGCCTTCTTAAAGCAGTACTGTAAACAAGTGCTTCTTCATCTATGGACATGTCCAAAAGACTGATCTTAAAAGATTGCTTCATTCTACTCTTTAAAAAAAGAATGAATAAACAAATAAATTAAGTACATGTGGGGAAAATTTAATTAATTTCCTTTGCTTTAGTCCTTTATTTATCAACGGTCGCCACAGCGGAATGAACCGCCAACTATTCCAGCATGGGCATTTCTGTGTGGAGTGTGCATGTTCTCCCCGTGTTGGTGTGGGTTTCCTCTGGGGGCTCCGGTTTCCCCCACAATCCAAACACATGCTAAAGAGGAATTAACATATTTGTAAATATTCAAGATGTGCATGCAGCGAGTTTGCAGAAAACACTGGGAGCGCTATTACAGCGAGGCAATGACATCCGATGCGGTACGGAGTTTGTTGTTGTCTTAGAAATAAGTTATATTGATTACATGTTATATATATATATATTATTTACATAATGCTTTTAGCGTATTATAGCAGCTCGTCACCCAGTAATAAGCACAGTGATTCGGCAAAGTTAACATGAAATGAGCGACGTTCATCTGACAGGTCCATTTGCGATTGCACCCTCCCAAAGGATATTGGATAAGACGAAATGGCCAAGCATCCAGCCCCAAATATACAATCTCATAGAAGCTCCAAGTGTTTTTACAAGAGAGAAGTTAAAGGCCTACAAGTCTTTGGATGCCAACTATTTTGTTCAGTGTGGTCATGTGTCAGAAATAATGTTCCATGATTACCAGATTCAAAACTATGTAGTGCTAAAAACCAAGGTTTTGCCTAGCCAAAGACAAGGAAAAGAAGACGGAGCTGTACAAGGCCTGGGTAATCATCAACAAGCAAAACAACTGCATTCTGTCAGCGAACTGCACCTGTACGGCAAGGTATGTGAACTTACACTTTTACGTTTCATTCTGCGGACACTAAACATTCAGTGTCCGCAGATTAATTAATCATATTTAACTGTTTTTGCTAAAATCATTGCTGCAATCAACAACGAGTAATGTGTATGATTCAGCATAGTGTGAACTTACCTCACATGAAATGAGAACTGCAGAATCCAGCATTTTTAATTAGGTCTTCACTTTATTCAGCTCCCTTTTAGCCAAAGACATCTGCGGTTGGCAATAGCAGTGTGGTGTACGGTAAATGTTAAGTTTTCTATTTTTGGATTTTTGAATTTGTTTTTGGCGTCCTACTGCACAACATGACATGTTTGCTATTGTAACTGGTCTCTTTTTCGCAAGCGTGTGACGTAGGTTGGTAATTCCTCTATAGGTGAATTTAATAAACTAAATTGGCCCTCGTGTATGTGTGTGGAAGAGTGTGTATGAGTGTTTCCCAGTACTGGGTTGCATCTGAAAGGACATCCGCTGTGTAAAACATATGCTGGATAAGTTGGTGGTTCATTCCGCTGTGGCGACCCCTGATGAATAAAGGGACTAAGCCGAAAATTAATATATATAATAAAATATTGTAGTAAAATTGTATTGAATAAAATTGTTGTAAAAATATGTCGTATCTCAAAAAGAAATGTAAATTTAATTCAGAGTGCAGTGAGCTTAGAATATAAGGAAGCACGCTTTCTTTATTAAATTGCAAAAAAATAAACATGTGCATGATATTGAAATAATTTGATATGTACCTGTAGACGCGGACACACTCTTACCTGGTTTTTCCACATGAATTATGAACCATGTATACGAATATTGCAGGCCACAGCTCCTCGAACGGTGCAATGTCAAAGTGAAACCTTAGACAGAAATACGAGAGTTTATTTGCAATACAAATCTGGATAAAGGAAATATGAACCAGAAAGCGATCGATATTGTATATCCTGATTACATCTGCACCCGCATGTCCATACAATCAAATGAAACCAGCCGAATATGCACATTTAGCTTTGGCTCTTTAAGAAAGTATCATGTTTTACAATGAAAATATCATTAAACATGATTAAGCTTGACATACACACTTGTACAGCTATCTTTATGGGGACTTATCCATAGAAGTAATGATTATTATACTTCAAAATAATATGTATATTATATATATATATAATATGTATACTCCAATTCTACTCCTAAACCCAGCTATCAAAGGAAATAATCTGCATTTTTACATTTTTAAAATGCTTCATTCTGTGTGATTTATGAGCCGTGATGAGTCACCATACGGTCAAAATGTACTGGCTTTTCTATAAATGTGGCTACAATTGGTCACCACAACATGAGGAACACAAGGTACACACACACACATTACACTACTATTGGCGATGTGTTATACCATAGTGCTGTTACCAGGGCTTGACATTAACCCCCGCCAAATGCGGGTAGATTTCAGCTGTGTCGGGTTAGCCAGCCACTCACACTAGCCACTCTGGCTAGTTGAAAATCATTTTTAAATCGTAGTTTTCTTAAAAAGCCGAGTTCAACAATAAGGATGGCCCGGGCCAGCGTTAGAGATGACAATAATAACTGTGTTCGCATGAGCAAAAGAAAGCAGGTGAATGCCGCATGAAAGGATGATCAAGCATATGGTGAGACATACTGTAGGCGATTCTCACTCACTGACAAGTGATTCAGTGACACTGCTGATGTGACGTGCGCAAGTGTTTAAAAGTTTAAAAAAAAGAAATAGTTCCTTGCACAAAGCATTAAGGTTATTATAGTTAACGAAAACGAACGAAAAAACAAAAACTAAAATAATTGTCGTTAACTGATATAAAAAATAAAAAATATATATTTTTTTTAAAAACTAGAACTGAAACTTTATTGTGTGCATAAAAAACTAACTGAAACTAACTAAAATAATAGCAAAAACCTCCCTTGTTTTTGTCTTTTTAAATGTATTTAATACATAATCTTACTGTAAGCCTTTTAGATGTAAATATAATTCACGCTGCAGGTGTGGCACCTCAGAGTATGTAGTCCTGCTACTGCTATTGGCCAGATCGAGCCGGTTCTCCTTCAGTCATCCTCGCTGTTGCTCTCGCGACAAAAACAACGAGTGGACATGACAGCAGCACAGTGACAGCATTAAATACAGACACTTTACACTATTACTTTAACACATTTGTGCCCAATAATGGGTTTTATTTTTGTATCGCGATCGCGAACAAATCTTTTTAAACTGGATCTTCAAAGTGAACCGGTTGAACTAGTTCACCTAGTCGAACTGAATCATTTGAAGCGATTTTTATCTCCAGTAAGCAGTTATCCACAAACTGCTTACTTTTTAACAAGCCTAATACCCCCCTCTGACTCTAAATAATCCAATATATACTCTTATTCAGTTATTAGAACAGTAACGTTACACTGAGATGTGGTGAACCGATAATACTGCACATGCGTGATTCAGTGAACCAAACACAAACAGTACATGACAGCCTGCTGTGACTGAACTAAACTTAAACAACTGCAGTACGGCTAAACCGGGGGCTTGGATGAGAGGATCTTGTTTAAACGTCAGTTTATTTCATAACAGACAATCGTATTGAAATTTAAATAAGTAAATCATGCTTCAGTTGGGTTGCAAAACTTTACTGTAAGACATTTTTTAGATCATGGTGATGTTTTAACTGACTGAAATTACTATTGCGAACTGCATAATGCTGAGTCCTAACATTTGCGTTAAAGATCTGAACTTCCCATCACTACTGTGTATCTAACCTCAGAAGCGGCCTTGCACACATATTGTACTTAAGGCTGCTATCTTGTGGGCTGTTGTATTTGAGTTTGAGGATGGGTAGATGGTTGTGGTAGATGACAGTGTTCATGTGTCCACTGAATAAATGTTTTAGAAAATGTATGGCTAAATCTTGAATCTTGCACCTACCACATATACTTATAAAAAAAAAAAAAAAAAACTAAAACTAATACTGAAACTAATAAAAGCTAAACTAAAACTAAGCCATTTCATAATATAGAAACTAATATAAACTATTAATTCTGCCTCTAAAAACTAATTAAAACCAACTGAATTTGAAAACAAAAAGTCAAAACGAAATAAAAACTAAAACTAATGAAAAAATCCAAAACTAGTATTACCTTGCGAAGCATCCGTGCCTGAAAATGTAACTGCTGCAATTGGTTCTCATTGAAATAGACTGGAAAAAAGCGACGCACATGCACCCACAGTCATGTTGCTCTCATGAGCTTGAGATTTTTTTTAAATGTCTTTTTGTAAACAGCAGCGGTTGCTTTCGCTTTAACCATTCTTTGAACAGAATATTAATGGACCTATTGTTAACTGTGTGCACTTCATTATCCTTTCATTATCGCACACGGGACGTTTCTCATCTGCTTTCATTTGCTTACAGTTATTTTGGGCTAAGACTTATGATTTCAAAAAGTGAAATGAATGAGGCATGTGGACATAACACAAAATCTAAATCAAGTCATTTTTGCATTCCAAAGTCAATGTTATGGGTATAAAATATCCAACATATATTTTCCAACAACAAAATTGTGGCTAGTGAAAATGGCGAGTGGCTAGTAATGTTGTAAAGCTACTAACCACAGTGGCTGGTGCTCCAAAAAATTAATGCCAAGCCTTGGTTGTTACACACAGCCCTCCCTGGCTTTTTGTTTTTATTCAAGTGGGTGTCAGAAACAGACATATATTGAAACCAACATAAATTTTAAACATATTTAATCATAATAATCCAAAAGAGTCCAACAAATTTGCCAAACTGTAATATCCACATGCTGTTAGCGCCTATTTTACAATATTAAGTAACAATACACTGCAAAAACTGCTTGTTTTTTTGTAATTTTCAGTCCAAATATCCAAAAATTCTTAAATCAAGAAGCACTTTCTAGACAAGTAAAAATTATTATCTTGTTTTTAGAAATAGTAGGTCTAAATTAATTACTATTTTCCTTAAAATAAGCAAAATAATCCACTAATGAAATAAGCGAAGATTACTTTGCTATAATTTCATTATAATGACATTTGTAGATTGTAAAGCCATGAAAGCATATAATCATGCATTCTTGATTGTAGTTGGTTTTTCCTGTTGGGAAGAGGTCAAATTTGTCATTTTTCTTGTTGATCGTCAGTTGCAGTGCAATAAAAGCTTGTACTGTATATGAAGTCACTGCATACCTACTCAGAAGAACTATCAAAATAACCCCAAACTCCTCAATCTGTTGATTCAGAGCAGTTTAATTGCATATAACTTGAACAATACACACTGGTTAAGTTTAAGAATAGTTAAAACACATACAAACACAATCCATTATTTAAATGTTGGCAGATTATTTTGCTTGTTTTAAGGGAACAAACTCACTTAATTTTGACACGTTTCTCAATACAAAACTAGAAAATGCTTCTCGACTTAAGTATTTTTGGATATTTGGACTAGAAACAAGACAAAAACGAGTAACTATTAAGTAAGAAAAGCATTTTAGCATGTGTATTCCATTATGTGGGATTGATGTATCATATATGAGAGAGTAAAACTCACAGTTCGATCTCTTTATATATGGCTGAAGGGAGGGTGAGTTGAGTGAGGGTCTTCCACTCCTCTGACGTACAGATGCTGTGGTACGAAAGCTTCTCCATGGTCACCCGGTAAATGCACTCTGAATGTCTTATCCGGTGATACATCTACACACAAACACAAACGCCCCATGTGTCTTTTACGCAGATGCAAAATGTACATGCAAAATAGCGGAACCATTGGAAAACAGCGCTTGCATTCACTGTCATAAATATTTTTCTTATTTAATATCGTTCTTTATTCAGCTAGAAAAATAATTGAGTGTTTTCACGTTAACAGAATTACAGTTCTGTACAGACAATCAATGTTTTCCTCTTTTTACTAGTGGTAAATGACACCACACTATTAACCCTTATGGGCCGTTGTGGATGTTTTCAACCACTCTGAGGTGATTTTGAGTCTTAATTTAGTCACAACTTTCTCTTTGTTTCAGTAAATGGAAGGATTCTTGGTGACAATTCTTATTTTGACAATTATTTTGAGGAAAATGCTTTGAAAGTTTTCAAAAACTCAACAATACACTCTAAAATTGACTACCCTTTTTTTTGTTGGGGACGATTTTGCCCCATTGACTTTCATTGTAATGACATTTTTTGATTGCAAAGTTTGACAGCATATGGTCATGCATTCTTGATTGTTGGTAGAGAATACTTACGTTTCCTTGTGAGATCAGGCTGGATGATCAACAGTAATAATAACAAATCTGACCTCTTACTAACAGGAAAAACCACCAACAATCAAGAATGCATGATTATATGCTGTCATTTGCAATCTACAAAATGTCGTTATAATGAAAGTCAATGGGGTAAAAACAGCCCCAAACATACTGAAAGGGTAGTTAATTTGAACAATACACAAGGGTTAAGTTCAATAGCATAGTAAAAATAGTATATTTTTTTCTTATTTTGTTTAGTAAGTACAATGTAAAATCATTCATTTACATAATAAGTGAATTGTTTTGTTTGATCAGACTGTAGGTCCGCACTTACATTTGCACAGTGTAAGGCCAAAGCACAGAAGACGGCGAACATCTTAAAGTTGTTCTCGTCAGTTTTAGTGAAGGCACTTCCTCCCAGCTTGTTCACCATTTGTACAACACCGATCACAGTCCCGCGGCTGACTATGGGCATGCACAGGATATTCCGCGTCGTGTAGCCAGTGTAGAGATCTACTTCTCTATGAAAAGCAGAACAGATGTTAAAGAAATGCACACAGACACAAATACACACACACCGCAAAAGGACAAAAAAGGACAGGAGGGTAAATAATGGGAATCTACAGTAAATTATGGGAAAATTACTTTTAAAGCTGTCCACATTAAGTTCTTGGCAGTGCATATTTCTAAACAAAAAAAAGTTTTGATGTATTTCAAAGTATCTATATATATGTTTACTTAATAATATAATAAACATTTATTTTTGACTCATGCAAAGTATTTTAGTAATTCTCGTGCATGATAAGACAATTTTTGTGTGTGCAGGGTCACAAATGTTATGTGATAAATGAAAGTTCTACCTGTTGAAACGGGGGTCTGCATAGGCATCCGGAATATTCAAAACTTCTCCTGTTCGGGCCACTTGACCTGCTATTCCTTTCTCAATCGAAAACCTGTGGGGGTAAAAGTTCAAATCAGCTTCCAATGCATGATTTATGTTTACTCTCAGATATTCGAGAGTCAATCTCATGAAAACACATGCATGTACATTCATCATTATTTCTGTTGGATTTAGTTAATATAGTTTACCAGCCTGATTATGAGGAAACATAACTATTTTGTCAGTTTAGTGGCTAATTCGTAGAAATTCATACATTTTTAAAAGGAGGTGTGGCACCAAACCCCACCCCTAAAGTTTCTTAATTATGTTTTGCAACCTTAATTTAAATGAAATTGCAAACTTAATTTCATTACGACTTTGTATTGTGAATTAAACTTAGGCTTTGCCAGATCCTCTTATTTAAGCTCTCAATTTACTGCAGTTGTTTAAGTTTGGTTCAGTCACAGCAGGCTGTCATTTACTGTTTGTGTTCGGTTCACTGAATCATGAATGCGCAGTGTTATCAGTTCACCGCTTCTCAAATCTGATCTCAGTGTACTGTTCTAATATCTTAATAACTCAGTACATATTGGTTTATTTCAAGCCAGAGGGGGTATCAGGCATATTAAAAAGTAATATGTTTGTGGATAAGTGCTTAACGTTACTGGAGACGCGAATCAATTCAAATGATTCAGTTCAATTTGGTGAATTAGTTCAACCGGTACACTTAGAAGATTCGGGAAAAAAATAATGATTTATTCACGATTGCGATCTCTAATACAGAAATAAAAACCATTGTTGGGCAAAAATCTGTTAAATTAATACTCTTAAATGTCTGCTTGAGTCGTATTTAATGTTGTCACTGTGCTGCTGTCATTTCCAGCCATTGTTTTTGTTGCAGGAGCAACAGCGAGGATGACTGAAGGGGGACCGGCTTGATCTGGCCAAAGGAATCTGATCTGCCGTATGGGTCAAACACATGTCGTAAAACTTGCAGCCGAAGTAAATAGATTTACCGCTAAAAAGGCATACATTCTGTATGAAATACATTTACAAAGACAAAAACAAAGGACATTTTAGGGACACAAAACAGTTTCAGTTCGTTCTAGTTTTTTAAAATTATTTATTATTATTCCAGTTAGTGAAAATGATTTTAGATTTTAGTTTTCTTTTTTTTGTTCGTTTTTAGTAATTATAATAACCTTGTTTCAAATCCGTAAGGAGTTTGTTCATTCATTCATTTTTTTTTGGCTCAGTCCCTTTATTAATCTGGGGTCACCACAGTGGAATGAACCACCAACTTATCCAGCACATGTTTTACGCAGCAGTTGCCCTTCCAGCTGCAACCCATCTCTGGGAAACATCCACACACACTCATACACTACGGACAATTTAGCCTACCCAATTTACCTGTACCGCATGTCATTCGACTGTGGGGGAAACCGTAGCACCCGGAGGAAACCCACGCGAACGCAGGGAGAACATGCAAACTCCACGCAGAAACGCCAACTGACCCAGCCGAGGCTCGAACCAGCGACCTTCTTGCTGTGAGGCGACAGCACTGGCAGTTTGCTATATTTTGTTAGTCCCTTCAAGAAATGTTTACTTCATTATATATATACCTTTGTGCATCTGATCCTTTTTATGGTACAGTCGGGAGCAAGCTGGCTGTAACACTTGCCTAATTACCTCAACATGCCTAATTAACCCAGTTAAGCCTTTAAATTCCACTTTAAGCTGAATACTAATAAAAATATAATATGTTTAATATAAACTTAATAGTTTTTCATAACTCATCTCTAATAACTGATTTATTTTAACTTTACTATGATGACAGTACATATTATTTGATCAGATATTTCAGATATATTTATATCAGATACACTTTTATACAGCTTAAAGTGACATTTAAAGGCTTAACCAGGTTAATTAGGCTAACTAGGCCGGTTAGGGTAATTAGTCAAGTTACTGTATAACGATGGTTTGTTCTTTAGACTTCCGAAAAAATATATATAGCTTAAAGGGGCTAATAATATTGACATAAAAACATTTAAAAATAAAAATAAAACTTTTTATTCTAGTGGAAAAAAAACAAATAAGACTTTCTCCAGAAGAAATAATAATATAAGATATACTGTGAAATTTCCTTGCTCTGTTAAACATCATTTGGGAAATATTTATATTATATTAAAAATTAATAATAATTATATTAATAATATAATAATTAATAATATTAATCATTGATTCATTTAAATTATATTAATTCATTAATTCATTTATTTATGTTAAAATAATCCATTGGGAGGCTAATAATTCTTACTTCAACTGTACATAACCTTCAACTGGCAGTTAGAGAATGTAAAGATTCACACAGGAGTGAGCAAGTGAGTGAGGAATTGTGGGCGCTTACCTAATTTCTTTGGTTTTCCTGAAGACAGGTTTCCCTTCATTCTCCTCCCCGATATCAAACAGATCAGAATACAGCTCTTTGTTATTGTGATCCACCTGGAAGAGCGCACATCTGTCCGCATTAACCAGGTTTTTTGCATATATCTGAAAGGCAGATAAACACATGCATTTCCTTATTGACATTTCTTTCATGAGTACATATTTGCCTTTTAACACCATCACTATGCCAGTGTGGTTCATCTGAACTAATAAAAACAAGTTGTTTGTGTTGTGTTTTTACAGAACTGAAGGAGAATAATTTGATTTGATATGTAACAGTGTCATTATTAAACTGATGTTGAATGGGATAGTTCACAGAAAACTGAACATTTTGTTATTATTTGTTGTCATTTACTTCTTTTTTTCAGTTGAACCACAAGAAGATATTTGGAAAAATGCTGAAAAACGGTAACCATTGACTTACATATCATTTGTGTCAATGGTTACAGGTTTCTAACGTTTATTTATTTATTTATTTTTTTGTATATTCAGCCTGGGGTCTGTTCTTCGTACCTCGCTTAAATGATCTAAGATGATTTGACAGATCCTGGATCTTTTAATCTTGATAACTGTTCTCTGGCTAATTTGGTTCTTCAAACAAGTTCGCGAATCAGATTAGAATGTCTGGATAAACTGATCTGAGATCGCTGCGTGTGTTGTGAAGGACAGATCTATCGATCCTCGAAATCATGATCAGCAATGCCATGATTGGCTGACGGCACAGCAGCGTAATGACATCATCTGATTAATATTCAATTATCCATGTGAGCAAAATTACATCAAATGAGCAGTAAACGGCTTGTTAAATATGACGCGCAATAACTTTCCACCTTTGTTGTGAGCTGCAGGCTTTACATTTTCATGTGTCAAGTGTATTCATCATGTATTTCAATGCAAATCAATGTATTTAGTTCTATATTTAGAGAAGATTTTCTTTATAATAGTAGCCGTTTTTTAATCGGTGTAAAGAATCACTGGTTGTTTACAAACGCGTTTTCATATTGGTAAAGGTGTCTGCAACTTTTGTGAAGCATCAAATCACTGTCATATTAACTATCAAAACATGTTTATGACTGCATTAATGTATTATTGCTTTAAAAAAAAGTCACATATTGTGCATTTTATACACAATTTGTACTAAAGCGATCTAAAAAGTTCATATCAATAAGTTTTCTCTTTGCACCACCCGGTGGCAGTCTTTGTACTTTCATTTCGAGGGTGCAGATTGCATACGTTTTATTAATATGTATAACTTTATTTATTTTATTAATGACTATAACTTTATATATATATATATATATATATATATATATATATATATATATATATATATATATATATATATATATATATATATATATATATATATAGTTAAAAATATGTACCATTTTCCCAAGTGTATATAACTACTACTGTAATAAAATATCAGAATTCGGTACATACCTTCTGTATTATCTTTGCTTGAACTGAGCCGATCTAATCCTGTTTATATGAATTGAACCTGCTCCCGATCAGGTTTAAGCTAGCAGAACTGTTGCTATGACAACAACTCTCGGATCAGCTTTGAAGAACGAAAAGATCCTGGATCATGTCAAATCGTCTATATCCAAATCCAGCTAACTGAGTAATCCACGTACGAAGAACAGACCCCTGATCTCAAAAGGAAACGTAAATATCTTACGTTTTGTCAATTTGGCTAATTCATACGAAATCAGTTTTGAATTTACAAATTGGACTTCCGTATTTACAAATTGTGTTTTGAATTTACGAATTGCATTTGTGTACTTACGAATTGTGTTTTGAATTTACAAATTGGATTTGCATATTTACGAATTGTGTTTAACGTTTACAAAATGGATTTGTGTATTCATGAAATGTGTTTTGAATTTATGAATTCAATTTGCATATTTTTGATTTGTGTTTTGAATTTACGAATTGTGCTTTGAATTGAAAAAATGAATTAGCATATTTACGAATTGTCTTTTGACTTTATGAAATTGATTTGTGTATTCACGAAATGTGTTTTAAATTCATGAATTCAATTAGCATTTTTACGAATTGTTTCGAATTTACAAATTATGCTTTGAATTTATACATTTAATTGTGTATTTACGAATTGTGTTTTGAATTACTAATTGGATCTGCATATTCATGAAATGTATTTTGAATTTACGAATCAGATTTGTGTATTCATGAGATGTGTTTTGAATTCATAAATTGAATTTGCATATTTACAAATTGTGTTTTGAATTTATGAATTGAATTAGCATATTTACGAATTGTGTTTTCAATTTATAAAATGGATTTGCGTATTCATGAAATGTGTTTTAAATTTCCTAATTTTTTTAATTTATTAATTGATTTTGTGTATTTATAAACTTTGTTTAGAATTTACAAATTGTATTTATATATTTACAAGTATTGTTTTAATTTACTAGTTTTGTTTTGAATTTCCGAATTGTTTTGAATTTATTAATTGGAATTGCACATTTATGATTTGTGTTTTACATTTATTTATTGGATTTGTGAATTTACAAATTGTGTTTTGAATTAATGAAATGGATTTGTACATTTAACGAATCGTGTTTTGAATTCAGGAAATAGATTTGTGTATTCATGAATTGCGTTTTGAATTTACAAACTGAATTTTGTAAATGTGAACTGTGAATGAATTTCAATTTGTAAATGTATTATTTTAGAGACTGATCTGGCTCCATAAACCCCACCTCTAAACCCAACCGTCATTGGCAGATGAGCAAATCCTACTAAAATGCACCAATGATATTCATACGAATTAGCCAAAAATAAGTCAAAAAGTTACGCATTTTCGTGAGATAGTGTTGGTAGATCTTTTTTTTTTTTTCAACATGTTCAACAGAAAAAAATAGGCTTGATCAGGTTTTGAAACAACCTGAGGTTGAAAAAATTGAGCAAATTACTATTTTTGTGTGAACTATCCCTTTAAATATAATAAAGATGTTTTATAATGGCCGCTGAGAGCCTAAAGCAACTGAGGAACTTGTTCTTCCCTCTGGATTTCACAAGTTGGTGGCACAATATGTCAAGATAAACTTCTGCTTCATGAAACCGCTGACAGGTGAGAAATCACTTCAAAACAACAAAGACTTCTTACGCATTTAAACTACCTCCGTTTTTGGAAATAAGTGCTTGGAAAAAAAAAAAACGTATTAATTCCTGCGAGCGACGCCAAGAGCTCAGTGAGATGCTGGAGCAAAGTCAGACGGACTGTCTGTCCTCTCCCTGACCTAGTTGCATCACTTCCTGTGCTGCTTTGCTCAACAGGAAGGAGGGGACAGAGACAGAAAGGGGCCAGAGATCTGATACTTGGGGTGGATGAATATGTGTGTGTGCGCGAGAGAGAGAGAGAGAAGCCTAGAGAACACAAACATTTGCGTAAATGAAAAAAAAAGAAGATTTAAAAACAAGCCCAAGGCTGCTGGGTGAGCGGTGGCTTGTGGGGGTTATCGGCAAACAAATGAGAGAAGGTCTTTCATAGCACAGATTTCTCTGGCGTTGATAGTGACACAGATGAGCGACAGAAGAACAGCACGTCTGTCCTCATGACCAAGCATGTGACCCTAATGAGGAGAAGGAAAACATACTCACCATGATATGTTCAAGTAGAGAATCTATTGCCACTATGTTGTCAAAGTATGTTCTGTTTGAGATTGAAAAATGGGAGGGAAAGACCTGTCATTTTAAAAGGACAAATATATGATATAAAGCATAACAAGAATGCACATATCATTGTTTTAACATTGACTGTTATCATAATGTGAGTTCCCAATAAACCTTAGCATATTTTTTAGTATTAAAAGGTATTAAAGGGGTTATACAGGAGAATCTCAAGTAAACATGTTCATAGCACATATAAGCCACAAATCTACATGTTTTATAAATATACGGTTACTAGGTCCATAAATATTTGGACATTGACACAATTCTAACATTTTTGGCTCTATACACCAACATAATTGATTTAAACTGGTTTAACTGGAGACTGTCAGCTTTAATTTGAAGGTATTTACATCCAAATCAGGTATAGGGTAAAATAATTACAACAGTTTGCATATGTGCCTCCCACTAGGTCAGGGGTCACCACCCTTTTTGAAACTGAGAGCTACTTCCTGGGTATCAGTCACTGTGAAGGGCTACCAGTTTGATACACACTCCTTAAATAACAATTTTTCCCAATTTACTTTTAATTATATGTTTTTATTGATAATGATTAATGATATTCATCTATGTGAAGACACTGATCATGTTAATGATTTCTCACAATAGTTCTCAAAAATGATTTAACAAGGTAAGAAACAGAAACATCAATATGCAACACTTTATTTGTCTGAAATAGTTTTAGTTTATATATATATATATATATATATATATATATATATATATATATATATATATATATATATATATATATATATATATATATATATATATATATATATACACATACACACGAGTAGCAGTGCGATATGGCTGTATATCGGCACTGGTGGGAATATTCCATGCCTTAGTGCTTACACCAGTGCCGATATACAGCCATATCGCACTGCTACGAGTGTGATATTGCGTTTATACAACAGTTTGACGGCATAATTGTGTATATAAAAACAAAATCAAACATGGAGAGTGTCAAAAACCCTTTTGTATGAGGAACTAATTTCTTCCGGATTCAAATCAAAAGCTGACAGTTAAACAGCTGAGCAAGCATCTTTTAAACTTTAGATCTGTAGTGTCTGCTTTTTGCTGGCTGTATGTGGGCGGAGTAATACACAAAGGGTAAAGAGGCTGTAGGAGTTCTGATATTGCAGAATATTGCACGGCTATCAGCCAATCAGATTTGAGAACCAGACAGAACTGTTGTATATATATATATATATATATATATATATATATATATATATATATATATATATATATATATATATATATATATATATATAATGTTGACTTTAATAGTTTTAAAAATGAATTCTAGCCAAAATAAAACAAATAAGACGTTCTCCAGAAGAAAAAAATGTTATAGGAAATACTGTGAAAAATTCCTTGCTCTGTTTAACACCCTTTGGGAAATATTTTAAAAAGAATACAGATTCCACTGGAAGATTTTGCCCTCAACTGTATCTATTCACATTTTAAGCCCATTATTTTAGAATAGACACCTGGACATGTTCTATGAGGTTCACCTAATATACACTTCTAGGCATAAACTCTCTTACTTTGACACATCTAGGAGAAAGTCATTGAGTTCCGTCTGTTTGGCAAGACCTCTGCAGACCTGCGAACAAAAGACGACAACAAAACGACGAACAAAAAAACAAAATGACCATGTGATTAAATTTAGATGTGGACCATTACCCGAATTTTTTTAATTGGATGAATGAAAGTGTGTATAAGTGAACGCCATTAATTAGAACTTGTAGAATGTTTTGCCCTATGATTTCAGTTAAAAAAGCGGATAATACACAAAGTTATAAATTGGTCCAAAGAAAAAAAAAACTCTTTTGACAGTGCTTTTTCTTCATTCTTCAGTATAATTTGACTGGATAATTTGTCCACAGAAAAATATTTAATGTGCAGTTTAAGTGGCAAAATGACCAGGGAACAGGCTTATCTGAATGAACTATCCCTACAGAAGTAGTTTATTCCTAAAAAAACATTCTGTCATCATTTATTCAGCATCATGCTAAACCCATATGCTGATATTTATTTATGTAGAACACCAAAAGGAGCATAACAGATGGTCATTACTAACTGTCGCTGTAGGATAAGCTGCAGCGTCAGATTTCTTCAGAAATTGGAATGACTTAAGGTTTGTTAAATTATTATTTAATTTCACGTTTCAGTCATCCATTGACTTAAAGAAAAGAGGCTCATTTTACAAATTTCCTAGAGTTAAACAGTCAGGTTTTACCATTTTTTTTATCCATTTAGCTGATCTCTGGGTCTGGAAGCACCTTTAGCTTAGCTTAGCATATACCATCAAATCAGATTAGACCATTAGAATCATTCTGGCGTAATAATAAAGGAATTTTGCTGCTATACCATGGCTATAGCAGACGCAAAGATATTAAGCAGCGCTGTTACATAGATACCTAGCTGAGGATTAATTTCAGGTGCTGCATTCTATGACTGCCATTGAATGGCAGCAACATTCCTTGATTAGTACACTGGAGAATACGTTAGTTCCCATATTGTCATAGAAAATAGTAACTTTTCATTTTAATTTTGTATTTGTACACAATGTAATCACAGAGGAGTGAAGCTTTAAAAAAAAGTTTGTAATTTTGCAAAATTGCAAAAACGCAAATTTAACACTTTAATAAAAAATATATATAATTAATTGGATTTGCGCATTACGAATTATGTTTTGAATTCATGAATTGTATTTTGAAGTTACAAACTGTATTTGTGTATTTACGAAATGTTTTGAATTTATGATTTGGATTTGCGTATTCATGAAATGTGTTTTGATTTTACAAAATCAATTTGCATATTTACCAAATGTGTTTTGAATTTGCGAATTGGATTTGCTTATTTATAAATTGTGTTTTAAGTTTACGAATTAGATTTATGTATTTACAAATTGTGTTTTCAATTTACTTATTGTGTTTTGAATTTATAAAAATGGATTTGTGTATTTACAAATTGTTTTAAATTTACGAAATGGATTTGCATATTTATAAATTGTGTTTTGAATTTATAAAGTGGGTTTGTGCATTTATGAATTGTGTTTTGAATTCACAAATTGGATTTGCATATTCATGAAATGTGCTTTGAAACTACAAATTGGATTTGTGTATTTACAAATTGTGTTTTGAATTTACAAATTGGATTTACGCATGTATAAATTAATTGAAATTTATAAATTGAATTTTTGTATTTACAAAAGGTGCTTATTTATTAATTGTGTTTTGAATTTACAAATTGGATTTGTGTATTAACAAACTGTGTTTTGAATTTACAAACTGGATTTCCATATTTACAAATTGTGTTTTGAATTTACAAATTGAATTTGCGTATTTATAAATGAATTTGCATTTACTAATTGGATTTACATATTCATAAATTAATTTGAATTTAGGAATTGGATTTGCATATTTATTAATTAATCGAATTTAGGAATTGGATTTGTATTTACGAAATGTGTTTTGAGTTCAATCGTACAAAAATTACCATAAAAATACAATGAAATACAATGAAAAAAGCCATGGATAAAAATGACTCAAAATAAATAAACATAATGAGAAATAGAAATTACTTTAAAATTTGGTTCAACAAAATAATTAATAACAGCAAAATAATGAAACTAGTCTAGAAAAAAATTAAAGAGTATACAAAAGAAGATGTTTTGAAAAATGCTGGTTGCGGGCACCTATTGACTTCCATAGTTATTTTTACACATTATATGTATGGCTACAATCAGTTTTTTTGCAAAAAATATTTTGTATTGAACAGAACAGCTCATAAATTTTTAGAACCACATGAAAAAAATTGAGTTTTTAAAAAGAGCCGTGGCACCAAACCTAACCCTGAAGAGCAAGATCAGTCTAAAAAAATGATACATTTGCAACAAATGCACAGCACGTTTCCAATTTACTTCAATTTAAATAGTGATTTTAATTAAAATTTATAAATTCAAAACACAATTTGTGTATTCACAAGTAAAAATCCCCAAATGTCTAATCCGATTCAATGATTATACTAAGCTAAGCTAAAAGTGTTGCCGCCAGACCTGGAGATTGACTGAATGTATACAAAAATGGTCATTCTCATCTGTTTAATGGAGTTTTAAAATAAGTCTATTCTAAAAATATATATATATTTTAGGCATTTTTATTAAATATATTACTTGTGATCTTTACTCTCTACTATGCTCCTTGCCTTCTGAGAAGATTTGCGCTGCAGAGAGAATCGCTCCCAAAGAGCCTTATGATGCACAGGGACATTAACACCCAGAGAGGAGAGAGGTGTCATTCATGGTATACAACAATGTACGTACAAACAAGACTGCACTGTCATTAATTGCACCTCCAGAGACCAGGGTGTGTTTAATGTGTGGTCTGGTTGCTTACACTGGGCCCACCAGCAGCCTTATACATGTACACAGTGGACTACAGAAATCAAAACAACCAAATCAAACATCTTATGCAAGAGAATCACTATCTAACAATGAGCGAGGTTTAATGATTATGATTCTGAAACATTCTCACCTGGACTTGGTGTATGGCTACAGATGCCCAGGCCAAATTTGCTGTTGCAACCTAAACAAACAAACAATGAAAGAACATTACACTTAGCAAATGATCCGCAAGCCGCAAACAAGAAGTGTTTAATTTAGAGACTATTTACATATTTATTATTACTATTTACAGAAATGGCCTTTTAGCTCTGATTTTGTGGGGTTATGGATTAGCTGGAGAGTTATGCTCAATATTACTCTCTATATAGTGTAAATGTTTGTAGTATACAGTTGAAGTCAGAAATATTAGCCCGCCTGAATTATTAGCGCTCTGTTTATTTCCCCCCCCAATTTCTGTTTAACGGAGAGCAGATTTTTTCAACACATTTCTAATCATAATAGTTTTAATAATTCATTTCTAATAACTGATTTATTTTATCTTAGTCATGATGACAGGGAATAATATTTGACTAGATATTTTTCAAGACACTTCTAGTCTTCACATTATGTTTGTCTGCTTAGACAAAAGTCATGTCACTGAACAGAAATAATGTCCAGTATAGAATATAAAGTCATGCTGCTGTGGAAACAGAATGAATATTGTGTCTGACTCCATCATGAGCTTGGAGGACTGCATCCATACATCTCTGCAATGACTCCAATCACTGATTAATAAAGTCATCTGAAATGGCAAAGAAAGCGTTCTTGCAGGACTCCCAGAGTTCATCAAGATTCATCTTCAGTGCTTTCTTCATATTACCCCAGACATGCTCAATAAAGTTCATGTTTGGTGACTGGGCTGGCCAATCCTGGAGCATCTTGACCTTCTTTGTTTTCAGGAACTTTGATTTTGAGGCTGAAGTATGAGAAGGAGCGCTATCCTGCTGGAGAATTTGCCCTCTCCTGTGGTTTGTAATGTAATGAGCAGCACAATTGTCTTGATGCCTCAGGCTGTTGATGTTGCCATCCACTCTGCAGATCTCTCGTACGCCCCATACCGAATGAAACCTCAAACCATGATTTTTCCTTCACAAAACTTGACTGATTTCTCTGAGAATCTTGGGTCTATGTGGGTTCAAAAAGGGCATCTGCAGTATCTGTAATGATTAGGATGCAGCTAAACAGATCATTCATCAGAAAAAATGTACCAAATGCCATTTTTTCGAATGATCGACTAGAAGTCAAGTTATTATTTGTTTCTCTTACAACTGGCATCCGCAACAAGACTTTTGTCAAGTGTATGTTATTTCATTTCAACACAAGCTTAATGACACTGTCATTACATTTACACCAGCTAGAGGGAACTTAACCTGAAACTTTCCTATTAGTGATAAGCAGCATGCACAAGCAACCTACAGTATTGCTTTAGGAGAGCAGTATTAATAAATGTCTATCCCCTCTAAATAGTAAGGTAGAGATGTAACTCTGAACATAGTGCAATTTGGCAGACTAAAAGGACCATTTCTCTGCCAAAAGTACAAATGCACAGATCAGATTTCAAAACACACAGCTTTCTGTCAGTCAGCAATGAAAATTCTTATTGAATAATAGATTTTACTTGCAGAAATTAAACACTGCTTAAAAGCTTAATAATTACATTATAAAAATGACAGACAAGTGCGTTTGCTTAGGGATGCTGCTAGACTAGTGTAATGAAGTTGCCCGTTATTGATTTACAAAGAAAAATACATTAGAGCTACAATAAACAGAAACCTTTTATATCGTACAGTGCTTTGGTTTAATAAGGGTTTTCCTGCTTGTAATTGTTAACCATGGGTGATTCTTAGGAGCCAATCACACCAAACGTGCTGTATGCATTGAGGGGTGCCTGTTTTGAATGGTTTACTAAAGGCCGCGAGCGTGTTGTACGCTGCTTATGCGCCCTGCATGCCTCGCATCTTAACTGCCCGCCGCGCCTTGCGTTTCTGTCCTTGCACGCCGTGTGCTCTCAGTTGAAAAAAAGTTAACTCTGAGCGGAAAAAGCGTGTTACGTCAGTCGCGTCTTTTTCATTCTCCAATCAAATGAAAGCAGAGGCGGGGCTTGATGGGGTGAAATGTCTAGCTACCGTGGTGCCTCAGGGCTCTGTTCGTGGACCACATCTCTTCTCCATTTACTTGACATCACTGGGATCTTGACATCACTCTACTTCTCATTCCAACTGGATGAGCTAACGATTGATGAGCGGATATCAGCATGTCACAGCTTGTTTATATAAATATAAAAAAGACTGCTAGCAATATGTTTATTTCAATGCACTATTTATACTATTAAGGGCGACACTTTGGCGTAGGGAGTAGCACTGTCGCCACACAGCAAGAATGTTGCTGGTTCGAGGCCCGACTGGGTCAGTTGGCATTTCTGTGTGGATTTTCCTCCAGGTGCTCCGGTTTTTTCCCACAGTCCAAAGTCATGCGCTATAGGTAGCCCATCCGGAATCTGTGTGCGCAGAATTCCGTAGATTTCCGCAGATTTCTAGCCCATGATTAATTCTGTTTATTTACTTAAGTAAATGTGCGTAAATCTATATTTATTCAGTTTTAGAATTAATTTCAGTAATATTATTGACTAATGTGAATCTGATTTATGTACAATGCAGTTTGTACAGTAACATTTTCTGTCTTTTACTAGATATATTATATGACAAACTTGCTTTATTTACCAAATAAAGTGAATCTAATTAGATTTGCATTTTTAACATTAAATAAAAGTTAAAAGATATTATTTTTTTATTTCATATATTAAGGTATATGATACTCCCAAAATAATTCAGCAGAAATCCGCAGACTTTTACCAAAATTCTCAGCAGAAATAGCAAAAAACGTCTGCAGACTCCGTCTGGCCCTAGCTATAGGTGAATTGGGTAAAACAAAAAAAACTGGTCATAGTGTGTGAGTGTGTGTGTGAACGCAAGAGAGTATGGGTGTTTCCCAGTACTTGGTTGCAGCTGGAAAGGCATCCGCTGTATAAAACATATGCTGGAATAATTGTCAGTTCGTTCCGCTGTGACGACCCCTGATAATCAGGGACTAAGCTGATGGAAAATAAATCAACGGATGAATTTTAAAGGCCATAACTGAGGCATCCCAAAGCTGCCATTTATAACCATTACATTAAAAGCAACCTAGAATATAACCTATGAATAGTCCTGAGGTCAAAGTGCAGGCTGGCCAGAAGAAATGAGAGCATAGCTACACGGCTAACAAATAGCAGCACTTTCTCTATTAGAGTACCTCCTGGTGGCTGAGGTTGAAGGGCTCTCGACCCAAGTGGCGGTGCAGCTCCAGGATAGCGATGAGGTCTCCGATGGCGGTGAGGATGGGTAAACACAAAACAGAATGAACACGGATCCCTGAGTCCTGCCCTGTGCCATGAGGGAACCTCTCGTCCTACAGGAAAAACACACAGATTTAGGACATCTCTCCATTGATTTATTATTTTTTTTGCTAGAAATCTTTGCTAGAAATAAGTAATGCTATGAGAAATGAGTCATGGAAATACCAAATTTTGAATAAAAATAAACATTTTCACAAATAATTAGTTTTTACGCTCACTTGAGGTGGTTTTGTACACAAAATATGGTCACACTTTACAATAAGGTTCATTAATTAATGTCAATGCATTTACTAACATGAACAAACAATGAAAAATACATTTACTACTGTATTTGTTCATGTAAGTTAACGTTAGTTAATGAAAATACAGTAGTTCATTGTTAGTTCATGTTAACTCATGGTGCATTAACTAATGTTAACAAGCATGGACTGAAATGTTAATAATGCATTAGTAAATGTTCAACTATGATTAATAAATGCTGTACATGTATTGTAAAGTGTTACCCAAAATATGCTATACTACAGTCTACAGCTATACTATACTACAAAATACTACAGTCGGCCCCTTTAACAACTTGATGGAAACTCACCTAATGCACCATCGCTCAATTTCTTCAATCATTTCTCATATTTTTATATTTATTTCTCATATTTTTTAGAAGTATTTAGTGTTGCACATCATTACATGTCCACCATTAAACCAGGGGAGCAAACCTCATATAAGCATCAAAAGCTCTGCATAAGAGAATGAGATTGAGGACTGCTTAATATTATCATAATATTTGTCATTTGAAGGCTAACATTATAAAATGTTAGCTACTGTCTATAAATAATTTTAAGCCAAATGCAGTTTTTTCTCCAAATCTCTGGCAATGGTGGGATTGGGGAATGCAGATCTACGGCAGCTTTGGCAACAATGCTCTACTGCTGTGACTCGTGATCATGGTGGCAATTAGTTTGTTGGGTTTGGGTGATTTCATGCGAAGGGAAAGCTGTCTGCAAGTCATTGGCACAAGCTGAAGACTCTTGACTCTGTGCTAGCATCATTGCTGCCCGATCTTGATAACTAAAAAAAACACTCTGTAAATGATCCAAACTATTTTGTCTAAATCCTGTGTAAAGCCTAGACCTGTGAAGAGGTTATGCCAAGGTATCTATAATCCTGGATCAGGCCGTATCGTGAGCTGATGATGTGGTGGTAATGGAGGAGCAGAGAGCGTGAGACTGAATCCTGAAAGACCACAGTGACATACAAATCTTCACACTGATCCCGTGGGCCAGCCTGAACACCCGCCGGTGACCAACTCACACCTGCAGCTTCTCCACGATGGACAACCAGCATTCGTCCAGCATTCTCCAGCCTCCGGTGCCAAGACTGCAGCTATGCACAAGAAGTTTGGCCAGAGGAAAAATGTTCGTGCCCAGGGCCGGATTAACTTAAAGGCTAGGCGGGGCTGAAGCCCCGGGGCCCACGGAAGAAGGGGGCCCTTGATTGGCTGAAGAATTAATTTGCGCTATGACACAGGAAACACCTTTTTGCGTTATGCTTTATGTGAAGTATTCCTTTTGGTTCGGTGCTGTTCAAAAACAGTGACGCCGGTGCTAAACAGGGACTCAGAGTGGCCAATCAGAATATTGAGCAGCCCTTTTTTAGACACCCATAAAGCCTAGTTCACACTACAGGATTTTAAACATCAGCAAATCGCTGTGCTGTTCACACTACATGACTTGACTTTGTGTCTTTTAATCTCTGTGGTGTTCACACTACGCAACACTCCGTGAACGATCCAAAAGAGGGGGGTCACACACTACATGATCTGACAACAACTCATTCCCCATCAGCTCATTCAGGCTACCAAACCACAGCCAATGAAAATTTGAGGGAGGAGTCGTCAGAAAAAGCTGAACACTATTGGCTGCTTGTGTGCTGATGACATCACTGACAGCGTTTCAAGCTTTGGAGAAAGCATTTAAAAACATCGTCAAATCAGCTGATTTATCAGTGGATTAATCACTCATCTGCAAGGTTTGAGTGGATAGATACGCAGAGAGTTTTTAATTTTTGTAATTTTATAACTCTTTGAAATAAAACTAACATATTTATAACACCCTGCCATTTTCTAACTATCAGTGTATTTCTTTCTGACATTGTTATTTTTTTATTACAAAACAGTAAAGAACTGAGCATTTCTGCCTTAAATTACCATATTGGTTAAAATGACTGCATGCATGTCTGATACTTTTCGCTGTGACTTTAAATATGTGTGCATTTTCTTGCCTGGCAACTTCCTGCTAACATAAACAAAACTTTCTGATGGCAAAAACATCAATTTACTTCAGATATCTTTCAAAACAGCATATTCTGTGCTGTTAAATAGCTCCTGTTTGAAAGTGAAAATGAAAGCCAAGACCTTTAAGTGTTTTAGTATCTTAACTACATATTTATAGGCTGTATTACCAAAAAAATAATATACTATATTATATTTAGGGTAATGGTGTCATTAAATATGATGCCAAACATTCAAAGCTTAATTTTAATATCTCAATGATAGCTTTGAATGTAAATATGTTGTGACAATATGGCGTTTTATATAAGAACGGTCAGAATGAGCAGTATGGTAATTCTAATAGTTACAGAATTCTAGTTCCACTGTTAATATAGCCTACTCTCGTGTCTGTGTTAACACAGAATGAAGCGAGTGCACCGATGCCCATTCTGATCAATCACAGATGTTTCTGCTGAGCTCCTGAACACACAGGCATTCAGCTCATGCTGATCTGCTCTCTCATTGGCTGTAGCTCGTCACTACATCTGACCAGACGTGGGGTTGAGTCGGCCGACTGCTCTGGAATATTTAGCATGCTGAATGTTGGATTTCCGTCTGCGAGGTGTCGGCGACGCGTCAGCGAGCCTCGTTGATGCGTTGTTCAGTAGTTCACACATAAAGAGCGGCGAGCGCCGAGCACCCGCAGATTTCTTCCCGATCACAGTCCGATCTGTCGGCGAGCTCGTTAACTTCCAAATCGGGCTCAAATCAGGCTTAAAATCCTTTAGTGTGAACTAGGCATAAGAGTCATCAGATGTCCCAAGTTTTCCAGGACAATCACTTATTTCGGTACTAACGCGAGAACTGTCCAGTCAAAGGCAGGCTAACCAAGCTCGTCGTAGAACAACAAACAAAATTCAGTCTTCATCATTGATACACTTGTTCATGTAGTAACAGAAGCTAGGATAGACGGAATCACTGTATGGCTGAAGCGCTGTCTCGGCCACACGGCTGCAGGACTCAAACTGACGCGCCCACACAATCCTTCCATCACACAATATAACCAAGACAGAGTGTGAACAAATCAAATAGCCTACACAAGCAGTTATCAAAATATCCAGTTGCGGAGTGTCTATCACTAGTAAATGCACCCAGTTAAGCTTTACAGTAAGTCTAACTGAACCAGTTAGCAAGCAAACTGTATGAATGTTTACTCTGCCCATTTTATGAAAACGACAGTAATAATAGGGAGCAATGAAATATTGACGCTGAATTTCATTAGACAATATATCTAATGCGAAAAATAAATAAATATAAATGAATAAAATAAACAAGCAAACAAACAAATAAACAAATAAATAAATAAATGAATAAAATAAATAAATAAATAGAAAAATAAATAAATAAATAAAATAAATAAAAAAATAAAATAAAATAAAATAAAATAAAATAAAATAAAATAAAATAAAATAAAATAAAATAAAATAAAATAAAATAAAATAAAATAATGATGCTAGCCTTCTGTAACTCAGAAGACCACAATAAACTATTTTGGATATTAGACGCATGGATATTAAATATATTCTATCATTAGGTATTTATGGTCAACTAAAATTCTAAAGAACCTTTTAAAGGTAATAACTAATAAAAGAAATCAGTTATTAGAAATGAGTAAATAAAATTATTATGTTTAGAAATGTGTTGAACAAATCTTTCTGTTAAACAGAAATGGGAGGAAAATATACAGGGGGGCTAACAATTCTGACTTTAACTATAAATATATAGGCATTTTTACATCATATTAGCTTCTAGCCCTCAGCTGAACAGTCTCTGTCAGTGAATATTCAAGATGACACGAAGCTTAAACGCTCCAGTGTTTGACAAACTGGATCTGGCACGACACACTATTGGTTGCTTCCAGTGTAGACATGGTTAAAGTGTCATCCTGACTTTCACATCCAGTCCATTTATTCAACAAGAATCATTTGTACTGTCAAATGGACCCTTTTCACAAGACTGTTTGTACGTGTTTAACAGGCCATCAGCATCTTAAATCCTTAAACGTTTTAATATTCAAATATTTAGTAAAAACATATGAACATTTACATGCATTTATGTATGTATTATATCATCTTTACATCATATTTAATGAATTATTATGTGAGGTGTTTCTAATGCAGCGTCTATGGGGCAGGACAGTACATTTAACATTATTCTTTCTTCTGGCTGCCGTTATCAGTCTCAAACTACTTTTTCCTTCATCTGAAAGTCTTGATAACACCATCTGTATGTTTTTCTTTTATTATTTCAGCAAATAGGATTGTGAAAAGAATATTTGTTGCACTCTCGCATTTGCTGCGCTGTAAGTTTACCCTACTGTGACGACTTCCGCTACTAAGAAACCCGGAAATGTGAAAAGGGTCCACTGAGCTTTAGTGTAAAAAAGCACAACAGCATGTGTCTCACCCCCATGATGTCCTCTACAAGTAGTGTCTTGCGTGTCTTTGCAACGTGAGCGGCGATGGTGGTCCCAAACGTAATGGGACCAGAGGGGATGAGCCCAGGAAGCCCCTCTTTTGCCCCCGTCGGAGTGAACAAACATAAACTCTGTGACAGGGAAAACAACAAAACTGCATGACGTTAAAAGAAAAACAAAAACATATCTTGACTGGCGGCTGTGGCTGAATATTTTTGTCTATTTTGGGTACTGTAAAAAAGCCTAATCTATATATAAATACAACACCGCCTAAAACATTAAGACACAAAATAAATACATTTAAAAGTAAGACAGGCAAAATAATTACAGCAAAAGTCGATGCATCACTTCATTACTTTCCTTTAGTTTTTTTTTTAATCGAGCAAAACCAAATGAACAGATTGACAGAATACATGAACTACAGTCAGTAAAAATATACACATATACTGTATGAGAAGAAATACTCACACTCATACCCATAATAGGCACATATATATGTATGGTTTTTGAAGAAGTTACATATTATTATTATTAGTAGTAGTAGTAGTAGTAGATACTACAGTACCACTACTACTAATAATGTTGATAATTTAAGTAGTGGGTGTGGGGAAGAGAGTAGTAGTAATAGCTGTATTAATAATAATACTAATAATAATAATACTAATAATAATAATACCATAATAATAATAATAATAATAATAATAATAATAATAATAAAATAGTAATACATTTTTATTGTTATTAAAAGTAATATAACAATAATATTATTATTATTAATAATAATAACAATAACAATAATAATAATAATAATAATAAAGTACAATAAAATGTTATATTAATAATAATAATAATAATAATAACAATATTATTACTATAATTATAATAATCATGAATAATAAAAATAAAATAATAATAATAGTAATCTAAAAAAATAATAATATTATAATAATACTACTATAATAATAATAATAATAATAATAATAATAATAATAATAATAATTAAATATTTGTTTGAAAGTAGCAGAAATAGCTGTAATAATTATAATAATAACAACAACAATAGTATAATTAATAGTAATAATAACAATAATAATAATAATATTATATGTATAATAAATAATAATTATTATATAAATATTATTAATAATAATAATAATAATAATAATATAATAACAAAACAACAACAATAATAATAATAATAATAACAATCATAATAACAATAATAGTAATATAATAATAAAAACAATCATAATAATAAAATAATAAAAAATAGTTAAATAATAATAAACTATTAATAATAGTTTATTAATAATAATAATAAATAATAATAATAATATAAAGCAAAATAATAATAATTATAATCATAATAACAATAATACTATTTATTCATTCAATTGTGCTACCCACTGCACCACTGGGATTCCTACAATAACACTAATATATTATTATTATTATTATTATTAACTGTAAGTTGATAAGTTGGCTACCCCTGATTAATAAAGGGACTAAACTGAAAAGAAAATGAATGAATGGATAAATGAATAAATGAATGAAGGAAGGAATGAATGAATGAATGAACGAATAAGACAGATTACGCCAAAGAGAAGCCTTTTCACAAACTGCATTATCTGTTATCTGATTGGTCAAAATACAGGCCATCAAAGGGAAAAAGTAAAGGGATGAAGAGGAAATGAACATAGCAGGGGTCTCAAGTGTTTTAATGCTATAGAAATACCAAGCCATTTAGAGACAAACAGAAGATGTAGACGAGCACTGGAAGCTTTGCAGTCTCTTGGCTGAGTTTATGTTTCTCATGATCTTTAGACCTCTGATGCTTCACCGCTCAGACATCGGTTTTAGCTGACAAAATATAGATTGTTGCTAGTTTCATTGAAGCATCTGGGCTTTTTTCTTAAAGAATCTAAAGAATGAATGAGTTCACTAGCAGTCATAAACTATTTCCATTATTTATTTTTCTAAACATTCACGTCTAGATTATTATAAACTGTGGAATGTTGAAGTGATAATAAAGAATATTATTTGTGTTGTTGTGAAGGAATGTGTTTTATGAGAATGTATTTTCTGTTTGAGAAAACCTAGAACCTAGTAACTGACTTATTGACCATTTTTTATAAACATTTTTATTTAAATCATTTATGATTTATATATTTTTAAACTTTATATGCAAAAGATGAATCACATATCTGTATGTTAATATGCATTTATGGCATCTAAAATAAAAATAAATAGATAAATAAATAAATAGAAATAAATAAATAAATAAATAAATAAATAAATAAATAAATAAATAAATAAATAAATAAATAAATAAATAAATAAATTCCACGTGTCTTTGTAAAGAACATATCTGTCTAAAACAAATGGTAATAGAAATTTGTTCATTCATTTTCCTTTAGCTTAGTCCCTTTATTCATCAAGGGTAAACTTGATGGGGGGTTTACAAACTGAAGACCAGAATGCACTCTCGTTCATTTTTGAGGGGCCCTTTTTATCCAACATGTTGAGCCCTATCTGTACACGTGCCTGCAGCGGATGCCCTTCCAGCTGCAAACCAGTACTGGGAAAGGTATTAGAAAGTAAAAATGTAAATAAAAGAGTAAGATGCATATATAATACTATTTATATTATAATATTAATTAATAATATAATATTAATATTTGTTAAAAAAGTAATCATAATTTATTTAAATCCTTCATGACTTTTATTTCCAAAACTTCATACTTATAAGACTAATCACATATTATCAAATCAAATCACTTTTACTGTCACATCATCAGCAGCGTGTGATATGATGATTGAAAAGCTTAGGTGCTGGCTCCAGACAGTGCAAAATACAGACAGTGCAAATACAACAGCATACTTTTCATTAAAAAAAAGTAATAAAATAATAATAACAGGACAATGTAAATTGTCAGTGATATGTACAATGAATGGGTGTACCCATAGTTGGAGGCAGTAATGTTTTAAGTATGGATTGGTTAAAGTGCAGTGCATGCTACATATTGATGGTGTGCAGTGAGGGGTATGGAAGAGTCTGTGTGGGGTGTGTTAAGTGTTCACACACCCCATACATGTTATTATGTTTGGATGCATTTATGGCACCTAAAATAAATAAATAAATAAATAAATAAATAAATAAATAAATAAATAATTTTCTTGTATCAAGAACAGATCTGTCTAAAACAAACAGAAATTTACATATGTAAATAAAAGAGTAATAAATAAATGCAACACTCTTTAGATTAGAATATTTTATAATATAATATTAATATTTGTTAAAAAGAATTTACCATAATTTATTTAAACCATTTAAGTTTAAGTTTAAATTTTAAATGTATTTATTTTTAATTTTCAAAATGTTATATCTATAAGATTAATCACATATCATTATGTTATTACGCAATTATGGCACCTAAAATAAAAAATTTAATGAAATTAAATTAACAAAAAAATTAAAATAAAAATAAAAATAAATAAATTCCACGTTTCTATGTCAAGAACAGATTTGTCAAAAATGAATTAGAAATACAAAAAAAATATAAAAATAATATTATAAAAAATAATAACACTTATATTATAATATTAATTTATAATATATTAGTATTTGTTAAAAAATAATTTATGATTTTTATTTTCAAAACTTCATATTTTAAAGATTAAGCACATATCATTATGTTATTTTGCATTTGTGGCACCTAAAATAATAATAATAAAAAATAAATAAATAAATAATAATAATAATATTAATAATAATAATAATAATAATAATAATAATAATAATATATTAATTCCACTTCTATGCCAAGACCAGATATGTCTAAAACAAATGGCAAAAATAATGTTTATAAAAAAAAATGAAAACAAATATAGTAACGTTTAAAAAAAATCTAAAACAAATAAATAATGTCTATGTTTTTAAATTGAGTTACACATAAAAAAAAACTCTAACCTTGACCTGTACAATGTATTTTTGGCTATTGCTAAAAATATAGCTGTACATAATAAGATTTTGTCATTTAGGGTCACATACACTACACCATCTCTGTATAATATATTTTAAAAATGTAATTAAACAAATAAATGAATAAATGTACTAAAGAAATAATAATAATAATAAATTGTTTCAAGAAAATACGTATTAAAAACACTTACATTGTTGCATTCTCCAAGGAAGTAAAGTGCAAATCCGTCAGCTTTAGTGGCTGTGGAAAAACAACAAAAAACAAAATGAAAACATGTCGAGTGCCTCAGGCAGATGCATCATCAAAATGTAAAGATCCTGAAAAAAAAAAATTCCTGAACACATGAAGCCGTTTTGCATCACTTTCATGACATTTCGAGGAAAATCATAAAGAGCAAAGTGATAATACACATGGCTAATGTGTTTCACAGACTTTCTTGCTTTTGAAGAAGACTTGAGTATCCCGAAGGACTGACAGAATGTCAAGCAAAAATAAAGAGAAAAGGATCAGAAAATATGAAGGGAGTTGAATGAGTAAATGAGTTTAAACTGGAGTCAGAAATTAAATAAGACTTGGAGCAAAATGACTAATAAAAGCTATTCAAATTTCCCAGATATTTTCAACATGAAAGTAAATAGGTACAGTAAGTATTGTGTATTTACATAGGGCATTTATCATGCATGGCCACACACACACACACACACAAAGAGCTTCACAATCATGAGGGTGGGGGATCTTCCCACTCCACCACCAGTGTGCAGCATCTAGTTGGATGATGCGACAGCAGCCACAGGACAACGGTGCCAGTGTGCTCACCACACACCAGCTGGATGGGGATGAGTGAGAGGCCATGATGGGTAAGACACCGAAGTTATATTTTATTTACTGTGAGAATTAGTTTGACTAATTTACTATTTTAAGTGTCTGATACAAATGAACATATTATTTGGTAACATGTTACATTTCACATGTGCATTATTTTACAACAGAAATCCATGTTAAGAAAGAAAGAAAGAAAGAAAGAAAGAAAGAAAGAAAGAAAGAAAGAAAGAAAGAAAGAAAGAAAGAAAGAAAGAAAGAAAGAAAGAAAAGAAAGAAAGAAAGAAAGAAAGAAAGAAAGAAAGAAAGAAAGAAAGAAAGAAAGAAAGAAAGAAAGAAAGAAAGAAAAATATAAAGTCCCGTAGTGGGAAGCACAATCGCCTTACAGCTACAAGGTCGCTGGTTCGAACCTCTCCGGGTGCTCCGGCTTTCCCCACAGTCCAAGACATGTGGTACAGGTGAACTGATTAAGCTAAATTGGCCTAAGTGTATGTGAAGTGTGTGCAAGTGCGTATGGGTGTTTCCCAGTGTTGGGTTGAAGCTGAAAGGGCATCCGCTGCGTAAAACATGTGCTGAATAAATTGGCGGTTCATTCCTGCTGTGGCGACCTCTGATTATTAAAGAGACTAACCCAAAAAGAAAATGAATTAATAAATGAATGAACAAATAAATATAAATAAATAAATAAACAATTAATTAACAATTATTATTAATTAGTTAAATAATAAAGTAAAATAAATATAAAATTATATAAATAATAAATAAATAAATAAAGTACAATAAATAAATAAATAAAATATAAATAGTTAAACAAATATAAATTATATAAATAAATAAATAAATAAATAAATACACAAGTACATAAAGTAAAATAAATATAAATTTATATAAATGAATTACGAACATTTAAAGTAAAATAAATAAAGTAAAATAAATATAAATATAAATAAAGTAAAATAAATTCATAAAAACAAAAGTGATTTCTTTTATTCCATGTGAAAACACAATTATTTATATATTTCCCAGCATGTAGGTTTACTATCAGGGTCACAGTAAAACCCTTTGACAATTAACTCCATAATAAACCATGCACTGTTGTTTTTGCTTTTGAGTTGAGTTACAGTTCAAACACATAAAACAGTACCACACACTGCTGAAGCCTTCCACACAAAAGGACAAGCTCTGCTCTGCACAGTGTGTGTGTGTGTGTGTGTGTGTGTGTGTGTAGTGTGTGTGTGTAGTGTGTGTGTGTGTGTGAGCGGAGCAGGGGGACGCTCTGAATCCCAGCAGCCAGCAGATGAAGCGTGGGTGGATGAGAAGTGACAGGCTGTGCGCTGCTCCATCAGTGTGTGTGTGTGTGTGTGTGTGTGTGTGTGTGTGTGTGTGTGTGTGTGTGTGTGTGTGTGTGTGTGTGTGTGTGGTGAGAGAGAGAGAAGGGGAACACCCGTACTTAGACATTATAACCTGGATTCACCTCCATCTGTAAGGCAGCTGCTGTCTTTGCACATTTAAGCTTTACACAGCAGCATGTGTTCATGCAAAGAGTGCAAGCAACCCTAAACAAAACCCGTTTTGATCCAGATGACTAATAATACAATTCGATCAGATCACTAATCATACACTACCTGACAAAAGTCTTGTCGCCTATTCAAGTTTTAGGAATAACAAATAATAAGTTGGCTTATATGAAAGGCAAAGGCCTCTAGATTACGCTTATTTTACCAAAATAAAATATGATCATGCCTTGATTTTGAATGATTTAATTAGGACAGTAAGGTCTGACTTTGCTTAGGCAAAAGTCTTGTCATTTAACAGAAATAATGTCCAGTATAGAATATAAAGTCCTGCTGCAGTGGAAACAGAATGAATATTGTGTCTGACTCCATCATGAGCTTGGAGGACTGCATCAATACATCTCTGACATGACTCAAATCACTGATTAATAAAGTCATCTGGAATGACAAAGAAAGAGTTCATGCAGGACTCCCAGAGCTCATCAAGATTCTTCTTCAGTGCTTTCTTCATCTTACCCCAGACATGCTCAACAATGTTCACCTCTGGTGACTGGGCTGGCCAATCCTGGAGCAGCTTGACCTTCTTTGCTTGCAGAAACTTTGATGTGGAGGCTGAAGTATGAGAAGGAGCGCTATCCTGCTGAAGAGTTTACCCTCTCCTGTGGTTTGTAATGTAATGAGCAGCTGTTGATGGCTGTTGATGTTGATCATCCACTCTGCAGATCTCTCGCACGCCCCCATACTGAATGTAACCCCAAACCATGATTTTTCCTTCACCAAACTTGACTGATTTCTGTGAAAATCTTGGGTCCATGTAGGTTCCAGTAGGTCTTCTGCAGTTTTTGTGATGATTGGGATGAGGTTCAACAGTTGATTTATCAGAAAAATTTCCTTCTGCGACTTTTCCAAATGATCAACGAGAAGTTAAGTTGTTGCTCTTAAAACTGGGATCCACAACAAAACTTATATCAGGTAGTGTATAGTACTAAATTGTTGAGCAACAGTCTGCAAATACAACACCAACATATTTTAATATATAATATACAGCTCTTAGAAAATGGCAATTTTCTGTTTCACTGGATTTTTAATTTGTTGAGTAAAAAATAAATAAATAAAATTCTGTACACTACTGAAGACATTTAATTAATTCATTCATTCATTTTACTTTGGCATAGTCCCTTTATTCATCAGGGGTCTCCACAGCAGAATAAACCACCAACTTATCCAGCATTTGTTTTACACAGCGGATGCCCTTCAAACCACAACCCAGTACTGGGAAACACCCATACATTCACATTCACACACACACTATGGCCGATTTAGTTTATTCAATTCACCTATAGCGCATGTGTTTGGACTGTGAGGGAAACCGGAGCACCCAGAGGAAACCCACACCAACACGGGGAGAACAAACAACGAGCAACCTTCTTACTGTAAGGCGACAGTGCTAACCACTGAGCCTACATGCCGCCCTTACTAAAGATATTTCTTTCATTCATTCATTCATTTGCTTTTCGGCTTAGTCCCTTTACTAATCCGGGGTCGCCACAGTGGAATGAACCGCCAACTTATCCAGCATGTTTTTACACAGCGGATGCCCTTCCAGCCGCAATTCATCTCCAGGAAATAAAGATATTTCTTCTTAGTAAAAAATAAGAAGTAATTTAAAGTTTTTTCACCAACACAAAACCAATTCAGAAGGAATATGAAATCAATATTTTGTGGAATAACCCTGATTTTCGAACACAATAAATGAAAACATTTGTTATTATTATCGAATGTCATTAAAAATGCTCTAAATCAGTGGTTCTCAAACTTTTTTCATCAAGTACCACCTTCAAAAAAAAGTCTCTCCAAGTACCAACAAAATGAGCAGTATTGAAATACAGTAGCGTAGTAGGCCCAGTAAAGCAGCTAAAACTCTGCACAGTTAAAAAAACGTGGCAGATTACCTCAGAAATATAGGTTATATGTCACATATGGCATATTATATACATAATTTTTGATAAATTTTGAAATATATGTAGCATGTACATGACATATTTCCTTCCTCCGCGTACCACTATTGGGAAGCCCGCGTACCACTAGTGGTACACGTACCACAGTTTGAGAACCACTGCTCTAAATGACAATATAAAATATAGTATTTTTCTCAAATCAATGCCTAATAGACCCTGTAAATTTGTAAACCCTGTATTTTCCTAAACCTTTCAATAGTACAGTTCCCACAAAAAAATACAATGGGACTCTGAGCATCTGAAAATCTATTTACATGCATTTCTTTTCAATTTAATTTTTGAGCACATTTCTATTAAATGAAAGTTACCTCTGCAAAATTGTTCAAAAATTCTTGTATTATGCCTATTTGAGAATTGTCAAGTTGCCTTCTAATATATTACCATACATATCATTGTTTAATAATATTAATAAGAAATGTACTTGAGTAATTCAGTGAATGGCTGAACTACCTCTCATCCGAAGTGTGCGTTTTTGTGCATATGTGTTTGTGCATAAGTGTTAGTGTGTGTTTTGTGTGTGACAGAAAGGCTCTGACCTGTTTTAATGATGTTGCACAACTCATAGAGCAGTAGTTTGTTGTCTCCTCCAGTGTCCAGCCGCTGCTCCATGTAGCTGTTGAGCTCATAAACGACGCTCTGCATATTTGTGTCCTGGTACTGCTGGACACAACAAACACACACATACACATGCACATGTGCTGTACACAATAAACACACTTCTGACATGCACTGTACATTACTGCTTGAACATTCTGAAATACATTTTGGTTGACGATCATATTTTCAATATCAGCTTTTTGAAATAAATATTTTAGCCACAAATTGTTTACCATAAGTAGATGTTTGAGGCTGAACATACACTAGTTGAAAGGGATAGTTCACCCAAAAATGTACTCACTATTTACTCTATTGATCTTACTTTATGTAAGTGGTTTCAAACCATTATGAGCTTCTTTTTTTCTGTTGAACACAAAAGTAGATAGTTTGAAGAATGCTGACAACTGTAACCATTCATCATTCATTTTTCCTTTGGATTAGTCCCTTATCAGGGGTCGCCACAGTGGAAGGAACCATAAACTATTCCAGCATATGTTTTACACAGTGTATTTCCTTCCAGCTGCAACCCAGAACTGGGAAACACCCATACATTTACATAGACTATGGCCAATTTAGCTTATTCAATTTACCTTTACAACATGTCTTTAGACTGTTGTGGAACCCACACCAACATGGGCAGAACAGGCAAACTCCACACAGAAATGGCAATTGGCTCAGCCGGGACTCGAACCAGTGAGCTTTCTGGCTGTGAGGTGACGGTGCTAACCACTGAGCCACCATGTCACCACTATTGACTTCCATAGTAGAAAAAACAAATGCTGTTGACAGGGGTGCCGCTGGCTGGCACAAGCCATATTACAACATTCTGATGGTGCCGTGAACGAAAGTGAAGATCGGGGTAGGGAGTTGCTGACCAAAGTTGTAAGAAGGAGGGAGAGGGGTTGACATTGAAGGGGCCCTAATAGTAACTCTGGAGGCCCCAAAATGGCGAGGACCCTTGGAATCATCCTAACTTTCACCCCCTAGCAGCACCCCTGACTTTGGAAGTCTATGGTTACAGGTTTTATTTTTCAAAATATTATGTTGTATCACTTCTTTTGTGTTTAATTAAAAAAAGAAATGCAAATAACTTTGAAACAAGTAAAAAGTGAGTAAATATTAACCAAATGTTCAGGTTTGGGTGAACTATCCCTTTAATTAGTGACACTTAGACTGCATTTTAAAACTCTTTTTTTGAATGTGGCAACATACTACAGCACTCTATTATGTTTCTATGAATACATCTCTGACAGAAGCTCCTCCCTTATAAGGCAATCACGGTTTGCATAGATAATAAGCCAAAGCAGACATCATCCATTGCAACAAGGTTGACCCCACCCTTACTTTTAGCTAAACTCTCCTCTCTTTTTCCTATGAAAAGTTTGTTTTGGCAACTTTGTGAATAGATTTTTAGAGAAAACTGTTACTGTGTTTTAGGTTTACAGCTTTTAGTGTTAAGATGACATGTTTTGGGAATACAGGCCCCATCCTAGGTCAATATGAATGTACAGTCAAAGTTAAAATGATAATTTTTTCCCCGCCCAATATTTCCCAAATGATGTTTAGCAAAGCAAGGAATTTTTCACAGTATTCCCAATAACATATATTCTTCTGGAGAAAGTCTTATTTGTTTTATTTCAGCTTAAATAAAAGCAGTTTTTATATTGTTTTAAACACATTTTAATATTATTAGCCCCCTTAAAGGGCACCTATGATGAAAATCAAAGTAAGCTGTTTGGACAGAACTATGTGCAGGTATAGTGCGTCTACAGCAGAAGTCGGGAACCTTTTTTCAAAAAAGAGCCATTTCTGATTTTTTTTTAGCAAATACTTTTTTTTAAGAGCCATTCGGATGCATGTTTATCTCAAAATGCCTCTTTTAAAAAATGCATCTGCTACTGAATTACTACTGTAAATATTACAGGTTTAAACAAAACCTTAATGTATGTCCATACACAACTTAAAAAACAAATATAAAGCATCACATGTTGAGCAAGTCCATGAACGGAGAAAGAACATCCTATTATTGTTAACAGAGTTCTTTCAATTTGCTGTAAAAAAAAATAAAATAAATTAAAAAAAAGGACAATAAAGAGGGAATTATAATTGTATTTTCGATAGGAAACTGATTTCTAGTGACGGTTATTATATTTTGAACAGTAAAATATTATTGAAGGAAGACAGCTGGAGAGGGGTTGTTGCTAGTTAATGAGAATTATTTATATTATTTACAAAATTGTATTCATGTTATTTAATAAATGTCCACCTCCACCCCAACCCTAAACCCAACCGTCACAGCACAGTAAAAACAGGGGTTTTACCAAGCATTATTTATGTTATCTATTAAATTACCCAATAAATTGTATTTTTAACGCCTACTCCCACCCTAACCCAACCCAACCGTCACAGTACTGTAAAAATGTAATTATTTTTATATAGTGTCATCAAAAATGCTGTAATATTAATGTGCATATCACACTTACGGCCGGCCGCATATCCAATCTAGACTTTACCGCTGGAGAGCCACATATTTTTGGTCAAAGCGCCACATGAGGTTCCCTACCACTGGTCTACAGTCATATTGGAGTGATAAAAACACAATAAGTCTCTTGTTTTACATTTCCTGATGTTAAAATAGAATTCAAACCCCTCCCATTTTGAGGCCCACCACAACATGACGTAGGAGTGTGGTTTCCCCACCCACCAAGTTGATTGACAGCCGCATATTAACATGTCCCTGTAGTAACACGTATACATATCAACAAGAGAGGACGTGCGCAAAGCAACTGGGAATAAAAGATCTGTTTAGCGCTCTGTGATCAATCATCATCAAATCTGATAAAGAATGAGTTTAACAAGTTTAAAACGTTTTTAAATCAGTGCATGTTTGTAATGAACTACAGCGATTTAACCAACTTTATCAGCACAGCCATGTGTCAGTACAATTGTAAATGTTAAATCATGTTTATTTTGTACACTAACATAACGGATATCCATACAGCAGTGGATATTAACCGGTATCCTGTCACATTTGCCGTGCAAAAAACTTTGTAATGACATTCTATGCGACTCATTGTTGCAAAAAGGCTTGAATTAACTCCACAACAAATACATTAAATAATCATTGGGGAAGTTCTTACTGTAGTATTTCTCACAAATGTTACGTGAGATCTGCTTCCTTCATGTCTGTCACTGTGCTGTTTATCTGACGCAGCCAAGGCGGAGATTGAGGCACACTCTGACAGGCACGTGGGATTGGTGGGCCAGGAGAACCAGCATTAAAGGCACATGCAACAAAAACAGCTACATAGCGTTAAGATCAGAAAATTCTAATATTTTGAAATATATAATGAATATTCTGATGGGTGTTTTAAGCTGAACTTTACAGACACACTCTAAAGACACAAAAGACTTGAAAAAGGGGTAAAATAGGTGCCATTTAAGCAATATAATTTTTTTTGTCTACAGAACAAACCATTGTTATACCATGATAATTACCCTAACTTAACCTAACTTAACCTAATCAACCTAAGCTTTTAAATGTCACTTTAAGCTGAATACGAGTCTCTTCAAAAGTATCTAGTCAAGTATTAGGCACTGTCATCATGCAAATGATAAATGAAATCAGTTATTAGGAATGAGTTATTAAAATTAATTTGTTTAAAAATGTGTTGAAAAAAACACATACTAATAACTCGGACTTCAACTGTACTTTAGCTGGTTGTTTTTTATTTGCAGAGCGTCTCCACTTCATGAGCAGTGAATGGCAGTCCAAAGCATGGATGTCTATTTCTGGCGCTGTGTGAAAGGTCAGAGTGGGCCGGTGGACGAGGGGTGTGTGTGAGGTGCTCCCCCATGGGAATGGCTCCCTACGCATCCTGTTTATGCCGACCAACATGTGACGCACTGAGGACAAGCAAAGTCCCCACTGTCCTTCTCCAAAAAGTCCTTGTTTGCTCTCAGATGTCGTTCCCTTTCTGTTTAAAGGGCACCTAATTTACCCCTATTATAATATGTAAGATAAGCATTTGGTTTCAGCTCAAAATATCCATTAGATAATTTATTAGCCTCCAGAATCTGCCCATTTTGGTGTCTGAGTACAGTGTAGCTGTTTTTGTAGCCTGTGGCTTTAAATGCAAATGAGCTGCTTCTCCCCACCCATCGTTCCTACGTGCAAGTCTGAATGAAGCTGAAATACAGCTCATTAGACAAAAATACCAAGTAAGTTTATTTGCTGGATTTGTGGTGGAGTTTATTCAAGCCTTTCTGAAATGATGAGTCACACACAAATGTACACACACACATGCATATACATGATTATAGCGGTTAAGAATTACATAGCGATTTTACTGTCTTTATTACTGACATGCTCTGTTTAAAAACATTTTAAACTTATAAAACTTTTGTATTTCAATTTCAGTTTCTTTGCAAAAAAAAGTCCTCCGGACACTTGTATACATGTTATTATAGAAACATGGCACCTGTCAACCATTCAGTGGGCGGGAAAAACTGCACTCCTACATCATGTTGAGGTAGGCTTCAAAATCATTGGGGTTTGGATCATATTTTAACATCACAAAATTAAAAAAAAAGAGTCTTGTTATGTTTCTATCACTTTAGTATGATTGTAGACACACCATACCTACACACAGTTCTGTCCAAACAGCTTACAAAAGTTGACTTTCATCATAGGTGCCCTTTAAAAGTGGCGTTCACGCAAAAATCTAAATTTTCTCATCGTTTATTCACCCTTCATGGGTTTCCTTCTTCTGTCAAACACAATAGAAGTCACTTTCCAGAACCTTTGCATTCACTGTTCCTCATTGGTGGAATGATCTTCCTGTTCCCACATGGACTGCTGATTCACTGGTATCATTTAAACGACAACTAAAAACCCATCTCTGTTCAATGAACACTTGAGCATTTAAATAAATAAATACAGTGCATCCTGAAAGTATTCATAGCGCTTCACTTTTCCCAAATTTTGGTATTTATTTATTCCAAAATGGATTAAATCATTTACTTCCCCAAAATCCTACACACACTAACCCATAATGGCAATGAGAAAATTGCTGCAAATTTATTTAAAATAAAAAAGCTGAAAAATCACATGTAAATCAGTATTTACAACCTTTGCCGTGAAGCTCTAAATTGAGCCCAGGTACATTCTGCTTCCACTGATCATCCTTGAGATGTTTTAGCAGCTTCATTGGAGTTCACCTGTGGTCAATTCAGTTGATTGGACATGATTTAAAAAGGCATACACCTGTCTATATAAGGGCCTAAGATTGACAGTGCATGTCAAAGCACAAACCAAGCATGAAGACAAAGGAATTGTCTGTAGACCTCAGAGACAGGATTGTCTCGAGGCGCAAGGTTGGGGAAGGTTACAGAAACATTTCTGCTGCTCTGAAAGTTCCAATGAGCACAGTGGCCTCCATAATCTGTAACCGGAAGATGTTTGAACCACCAGGACTCTTTCTAGAGCTGGACAGTCATCTAAGCTGAGTGATCAGGGGAGAAGGGCCTTAGTCAGGGAGGTGATCAATAACCTGATGGTCACTTTGTCTGAGACTGAGACTAGTCAGGATAGAGGGAAAGATGAATGCAGTAATGTACAGAGACGTCCTGAATGAAAACCTGCTTCAGAGTGCTCTTGACCTCAGACTGGGGCGGCGGTTCATATTCCAGCAGGACAATTACCCAAAGCACCCTGCCAAAATATCAATGGAGTGGCTTCACAACAACTCAGTGAATGTCCTTGAGTGGCCCAGTCAGAGCCCAGACCTAAATCCTATTGAACAACTCTGGAGAGATGTGAAAATGGCTGTACACTGTCGCTTCCCATCCAACCTAGAGCTTAAAAGGGACTGCAATGAGGAATGAGCAAAAATTCCCAAAGACAGGTGTGCCAAGCTCGTGGCATCATATTCAAAAAGCCTGTAATTGCTGCCAAAGATACATCAACAATGTATTAAGCAAAGGCCATGAATACTGATGACACATTTGATTTTTCAGTTTTTTATTTTTAATAAATTTGCAACAATTTAAAAAAAAAAAAATTTCCCCATTGCTGTAGCATAAAAAAATTAGGAAAAAGTGAATAGCTATGAATACTTTCCGGATGCACTGTAAATTCTCTTCCTTTCTAATAGTTAATTTGTATAATTAGCACTTCTTGTGTGCATTACTTCCTCTTGTTGTATCACTAAATGCCTCTTCAGTCTGTTTGGACATAAGCGTCTGCTAAATGACTAAATGTAAATGTAAGATATTTTGAAAAATGTTGAAAACCTGTAGCCATTGACTATAGTTTATTTCTACTATGGATAAGGCTTGTCAAAAGTATCAACTTTGATGCCAATCGGTACTGCAGTTTAAACAATTGCCTTTTCCTGCTAACATTTGAGCACTCGTGAGCAACCTTACTTTGTTTTGACAACCTATGGAAGTCAATCGTTCTTTCATCTTCAACAGAAAGACACTTATAAGAACGAAACTCAAAGGTTTGTAACCTCTTGTGGGAGAGTAAACAGTGACTAAATGTTCGTTTTTGGGTGAACTATCCCTTTAACTTCTCCATCTCTGTCCCCTAAATCAGCAGGCCTAAGTGTGTGAGAGTGTGTGTCTGCGCTATCAGCCCATTTAAGTGCCAATGATCTCATTATCAGGTCATTGCCTCTGCTCATATAAATCTGTCACATGGTTTGAGTTCTCCACGTCATTTGTCATTTAACAGACACTTTCATATTTAGCAGCTGTGAGAGTGTGTGTGTGCTTGCTGAGAAATTATTAGCTGAAACTTTTCGCTGTTCCATGAGTGCATCTCCCTTGAGAACTGTCCCCACTTGGGACACTGTGCCTTTTGGCATGAATGTTCACACTTTTGCTACAAACTTTAATAACGGGGTCACATTTTACATTAAAAAGCTCCCCCTTGAGGTCTACTTCATTCCAACATTGATTTCTCATGATGTAACTAAGTTAAAGGGGTAGTTCACCTCAAATTTACTCAATATCTCTTTCTTATTTTCTATTAAACACAAAAGCAGATATTTTGAAGAAAGCTGAAAACCACAGACTTCCATAGTAGGAAAAACAAATACTATGGAAGTCAGTGGTGTTCAGCTTTCTTCAGAATATCTGCTTTTGTGCTCAACAGAAGAAAGTAAATCAACACTGTTTGAAACAGGTAAAGGGTGAGTAAATGATGACGGAATTTTCATTTTTGGGTGTACTGTCTCTTTAAGGTAAACTTACTGCTTAGTTATAAGACATCAAATGTGATATGCCTATTTCATTCATTCATTCATTCATTCTTTCATACATTCATTCATTCATTCATTCCATCATTCATTTTGTTTTCGGCTTAGTCCCTTTATTAATCTGGGGTCGTCACAGGGGAATGAACCACCAACTTATCCAGCATATGTTTTATGTAGCAGATGCTCTTCCAGCTTTCAACCCATCACTGGGAGACATCCATACACACTCATTCACACTCACACATACACTATGGACTAATAAGCTTACCCAATTCACCTATAGCGCATGTGTTTGGACTTGTGGGGGAAACCCAGAGCACTTGAACACGGGGAGAACATGCAAACTCTACACAAAAATGCCAACTGATGCTCCCAATTTTATAACGGAAACATAAAAAAATTAATATCATAGTGCTGTTAAACGATTAATCCTGCCTAATTACACACAGAATAAAGGTTTGTACTGTGTATTTATTATGCAAATATAAATGCACACACACAAAATGTATATGTAAAATGTATATATATATATATATATATATATATATATATATATAGTTTTAGGAACAACAAATAATAACTGGACTTGATCATTTGGTATCAGAAGTGACTTATTTGAAAGTCAAAGGCCTCTAGATTACACTTATTTTACCATCTGATCATGCTGGGATTTTTAAATTTAAGTAAGACAGTAAGGTCTGACTTTGCTTACACAAAAGTCTTGTAACGTAACAGAAATAATGTCTAGTATAGAATATAAAGTCCTGCTGCAGTGGAAACAGAATGAATATTGTGTCTGACTCCATCATAAGCTTGGAGGACTGCATCCATACATCTCTGACATGACTCAAATCACTGATTAATAAAGTCATCTGGAATGGCAAAGAAAGAGTTCATGCAGGACTCCCAGAGTTCATCAAGATCCTCTGGATTCATCTTCAACGCCTCCTCCTTCATCTTACCCTAGACATGCTCAATAATGTTCATGTTTGGTCATTGGGCTGGCCAATCCTGGAGCACATTAACCTTCTTTGCTTTCAGGAGCTTTGATGTGGAGGCTGAAGTATGAGCAGGAGCGCTATCCTGCTGGAGAATTTGCCCTCTCCTGTGGTTTGTAATGTAATGGGCAGCACAAATGTCTTGATACCTCAGGCTGTTGATGTTGTCATCCACTCTGCAGATCTCTCGCACGCCCTCATACCGAATGAAACCCCAAACCATGATTTTTCCTTCACCAAACTTGACTGATAACTGTGAGGATCTTGGGTCCATGCAGGTTCCAGTAGGTCTTCTGCAGTATTTGTTATGATTGGGATGCAGCTCAACAGATGATTAATGGGAAAAATCTACCTTCTGCCACTTTTCCAAATGATCAACGAGAAGTCAAGTTATTATTTATTGCTCAGGGATCGAAGACAAGACTTTTGTCAGATACTGTACAGTATTTACAGAACATAGCAATTATGTAGTTTTACACCACTTATATACTGTTTTTAACATTTTAAGATGATCATTTAATTAGAATTTACTGATTATGTCAGTGTTTACATGAATTATGTTAAAAAATAAATATCAAATAAAATACGTCAGGCCTTTAAGACACATTTATTTGTTCACTTTTCATTGCTGTATTGCATTGGCTTACAGTATCGAGGAATCAGTAGGGTTGCCTTAAGTGAAAAACATCCTTGAACAAGGTCTTCATTCAACCTTTTAAATTGTTTGCCTACAAATGTTTTCATTATTTCATATGTCAGTCTTTACAGGGTTAATGAAACACACATAGACAGCACACACTCAAAAGCGATGCCTCACTTACCCTGCTAACTTCTTTAGCTGAGGAGTCATCTGTCAAAAAACACAAGAAAACCATGTCAAAACTGATACAGACATACTTTAGTGCTTTTGTTCATTTACAGTATCACTTAATTCCGATATCTTGTGTAGTCAGATATTTACTTACAGACTTTTTATGACTTAAACTACATTGAATCCTACAGTATCACCCGATTGAGCATTTATTTCTGAATACACACTGATCTGGCCACTGATTCACAGCTCCAACACACATATAAACTCTGGCATAAAAAAGCTGTGCTGTGACATAATCATAGAAAAAAAACACATAAAACCAAAATTATGTGAAGTTGAATTTTAGGCCATTGAAGGCCAAACCCATCAAAACAAGCAACCAAGCAACCAACAAAATGTTTTTAGCTTCTAGCTGTCACATTTACAGCTGATTAAGTCAAAAACTTTTTCCCCTGTGCCTGGCTGGAACACCGTGTTAAGGGAACATTCAATGAGTAACTCGTGTAGCCAAACAGACAGTCTTCAGTGATGAGTATTCTTTCTCGAGCTACACAAGCTTTAAAAAAACAACCTTCAAATTTCAATCCAAAAATCAAGATTTTATCAAATGATACCCAAGGTGTGTAGGAATTAGGCATGGGGCGATAACCGTTTTCAAGGTATACCGAGGTTTGAGAAAAAAAATCTGCAATGCCGTTCCTAAGGTATGTGTAAGATTTTTTTAACAGTGTCTCCAGCAGAAAATATACCCAAAGATGCCATTTTAATTGAGAAAAATCTGATTTTTTGTAAACAACTGAAGACAGCAGAAGTCAATTATTATTTAGCCTGACATGTTTACGGTTCCAACATATTTAAAATGTTTCTCAAAATAAAATATATTGTGTTTAAAAAGGAAAAAAGTTTTTGTTTTTTACCAAGATATTTAAATTAGAATATATATTAGAGCAGTAATCACAATACCACGAAACCGTGAAACCCTGATATTTTTATCCAAGGTTATCGTACCATCAGGATCTTATACCGGCCCATGGCTAATAGGAATGCTCAAAGGAACACTCCAATCCTTTTGGAAATGTGCTTATTTTACAACTCCCCTAGAGTTAAACCATCAAGTTATACCATTTTTTGAACCCATTTAGTCCATCTACAGATTTGCCAGTGCGCTTTTAGCTTAGCTTAGCATAAATCATTGAATCAGATTAGACCATTAGCATCTTGCTTAAAAAATGTGACATTTAAACCAACTCTTTAGTTTTTTGGCAATTTTGCGATCGCTGAATCCAACGAAAAATCAACAAAAATGTCCTATAATTTTGTGATCCAGCCATATAGTCAAATTATATTTGTTTTAATTTGCAATTAATTGTTTTTCGTGAATTATAGATGTTGCATATGTAGCGCACGTGATGTATTGGAATGTCTCTTGAAAAATTAAGCCTCACCTACACCCTCACAATCATTACATTACATGAAAGTGGGGGAGAATTGTTTTGCAGCCTAAGCAGTAAGCAGACGCGGATGAAGCGCGAGTGATTTACATGTGAAGTCAATGCAAAGATACGCTTAGACATCCTGTGGCGCAAATCGAGTGAATAACACAGCACGAATCAGGCATTTTGTGCATTTGACGCACTTCAGACTACAAAAGAAAGTGGGAGCAAACATCTAACAAACGGAGAAAATAGAACAGACAAAAAAGCAAGCAGCTTATACAACAATGGAGATGGTTCAAGGATGACGGCCACTGGACGTGACCAAACTGAAGGACATTATTTTTGCTTTCAATACATGACTGGTATTATCATGTCTGTCAAATTGATAAATGATTTTGCTTAACTCGTTCCCTGCCGTTGACTAGGGAAAACGATTCTCTGCCATTGACAGTTTTAAGGAAATCCCTGTTTTAGGTGCATTACGGTAGAGGGAATCCTAAAGCATGTTGTATGTATGGGGTACATACTGTCTGATGCTCCGGGGAGTGAAATCTGAGAAAGAGAAAGTAAGATTGTGGGTAAAAATTATTTATAAGAGTTATACAACCTTCCTTTGGCTCAATCCCTAACGTTTTAGAATTTTTTTTTAGATATTATGATTTGTGTCATGAAGATTGCACAACTACCATAATAGGCTACCTAATATGGTAAATAAAATATAATTTATTTCCACAAATTTCCGGGAATTAGCACTACAAAATCATTTTTATGGCAAAAATCACAAAAAAATCATGACAAACTAGGGGGTCTGTTTAAAGCTCAACTTTTCAGTAATTATATCGTTTACTAAGGTGACGAAAACTACTATTACTATTTTCAGCTGCTGTATAACATCACTGCATCTGCTATTACACCAGAATGAGTATAATTCCTAGCCATATTAGCCAAAAAATAGCAATGATTTATTTTCCAACAGTTATAGTACTCAACGTAGCTACAGTCGAGTCAAGCATTAAATAGGAAAGTTATCAAAACTCATGTTTTCATTTTGAGTGAGATGCTAATGGTCTAATCTGATGATTCAATAATTTATGCTAAGCTAAGCTAAAAGTGCTCCAAAAATTTTAGCTCTAAGGCAAGCCTCTTTTCTGAAAACAAAATCGGAGTGTTCCTTTAAATAAATAAAGAACAGTTTGCTCTACCCAAAACACATGCCTGGGTATGACACACAGACACAGCTGTGAACACATGCACATCAAAACAGGGATAAAAGAGAATCTGCCACCTTCTCTTGTTCTCCTGAGAAAACACCTGTATCTGAGGTCAGCGAGTTTGCAACAATCTGGAGACGTTCAAACTCTTTCTTCTGGCTTCCCCATTTAGCAAGAAGCCCAGTCAGTGTGCAAAACACAGGAAGTGATGCATATAAACATCTTTCAGAATGTAGTTCTGTGCAAGCATTACTCGCTCACAACAGCAAGTGCTGTCACATACAGAAGACGGGTAAGAGGTGTCACTCAGGTCAAAAATTTATATGCAATTTTTATGATCCCTCTTATCTACAGTGTAAGCGAGAACCATTTTGCCAAATCTGCAAAAGGGGGTGTAATCGTATGACCACAGCAGCGTTTGAATGACTGAATTACAACTAAATTACAAAGCATGCAATTACTAATACAATAAAAAATGCCATAGAAAGAAAGAAAGAAAGAAAGAAAGAAAGAAGAAAAGGAAGGAAGGAAGGAAGGAAGGAAGGAAGGAAGGAAGGAAGGAAGGAAGGAAGGAAGGAAAAAAATGAAAGAAGGAAAAAATTAAGGAAAGAAGGAAGGAAGGAATGAAGGACGGAAATAAGGAAGGAAAAAGGAAGGAAGGAAGGAAGGAAGGAAGGAAAGAGGAAGAAAAGAAAAAAGAAGAAAATGAAAGAAGGAAAAAAATTAAGGAAAAAGGAAGAGAAAAAGAAAGGAAAGAATAAAAAAGGAAGGAAAGAAGGAAGAAAATTAGGACAGATATAAAAAAAAGGAATGAAGGAGGAAAGAAAGAAAAAATAAGGAGAGGAAAGAAGGGAAAATATAGAAAGGTAAGAAAGAAAGAAAGAAAGAAAGAAAGAAAGAAAGAAAGAAAGAAAGAAAGAAAGAAAGAAAGAAAGAACAAAGGAAGGAAGGAAAGAAAGAAAAAATGAAAAGCAAAAAAATGAAGGAAAGAAGGAAGGAAAAAAGAAAGGAAGAAAATGATGGAAAAAAGGAAGGGAAAAAAGGACAGAAGAATCGAAAAAAGAAAGGAAGGAAGGAAGGAAGGAAAAAATAGGGATGGAAGGAAGAAAAAAGGAAGAAAAGGAAATAAAGGAAAAATGAAGTAAAGGAAGAAAAAAAGGAAAGAAGGAAGAAAATGAGGAAAGACATTAAGAAAGGATTGAAGGAAGAAAAGAAAAAAAGGAAAGAAGGGAAATTAAGAAAGGTAAAAAGGAAGGAAGGAAGGAAGCAAGGAAGGAAGGAACGAACGAATAAAGAAAAGAAGGAAATAATGAACAAAAAGAAGGAAATGAAGGAAGAAAAGAAAAGAAGACAAGAAGGAAGGGAAAGAAAGAAAGAAAGAAAGAAAGAAAGAAAGAAAGAATATAGGATATTTTTGTGTCCTTGAATCTTTCTTTCTCAGAACTCCAGTGCACTATGGGCTCTATCGTTGAGTAAGGGCACATGCGGTGTTTTCAACTGCTGTCTAAACAGAAAGCTCATTAGCTTTAAGCTCAGTATAAAAGTGTCTCTCTGTACGCAGCAGGTTGTGCTGGGCAGCTCAGGGAGGGCCATATTCCACTTTGCGCCACAGGCTACCTGTGCCCACGTCATACTTGTTCCATTTCTGGTATTCCCAGGTGGAAATGTTTGGTAATCAATGCAGGGATTACAGATGTGTTTCTCACCCGCTCTCTGTGGGCAAAAAGCAGCACTAGATCCTGTGTTTAAACTGAACTCAAAACAGGCAGGTGTCATCTTTTGACATTAAATACATTATTCTGACAATGAAAAAGCATGGTTAAATTAAAGCAAAAAATAAATAAATAAATAAAGAGAGAAATCAAGAAATGACACTAGGGGCTCTATTTTGACGGTCCATGCGCAGTGTCAGAACCCACTTTTATTAATATAAGGACGGAAAAATCCGCTTTGCGCCATGGCACATGGTCTAAAAGGGTGGAGCTTTTTTTCTTAATGAGTTATAGGTGTGTTTTGAGAATAAACCAATCAGAGTATCATCTCGCATTCCCTTTAAGAGTCAGTTGTGTCACGCCATGGTGCATTTTGCTATTTACATGACGTAAAGTAAGTGTAAGTGGAAAAACTGAGCATTTCACAAGCAAGAAAACAGTTAAACTGAGCATCTACAGCGCGAGAACGAGAGATAAATTATTAACTTTCACTTTCGCTCTCATGGATAGGGAAACCTTGTACGCACAGACATTAATTCTGTGCTCTTGAAGCAGCTTATATTTGAGGGGGCGTGCAAGAAGTTTTGTGCACGAGCAGTGGCATTAGTCATTAAAATAACGGCACAGGTAGTTGGTAGATCTGTGTAAACATAAACAAAAAAGGCTTGCCGCCACAG